GATCAGCTGTCTCTGGAGTCTCAGCCTGGCTTGTAGATGCGTTGCTCCCTTACTTGTGGAAATGAAGGGCTGGTTTATTGACTGAGGTGCACACAGCTAACACATCAGTTCCTTCTGATTTCTCTGTAATTAAGTGCACACTTCTCCAAGGTGTTGGCACTTGCAGTGGGAGAAAGCTGGGCTCCCTGCTTTCCAGAGAAGATAGCATGCAGCCCTGATGCCTCAGCCTGGTTTTGGTTGTTTCAATAGCCGCTTCAATAAGTGACGTGACAGTCGCATGTCCAGTTGGGGGCGTGGGAGGGGTGAATGATAGGAGTGTCTGTTCATTGTACAGCTCATCACACATCTTTTGATTTCAAGGTTTGACCGGGCATGGAAGTGTATGTCAGGGCGCTCAGGTACTGCAGGGAGAGACAATGCAAGTGCCTGGAGAGGGAGAGAACAGGAGCCAGAGAAGGGACTAAGGGAGAACATTTTAATTTCTTTTCTATGGCTTCTTATGTTCCAAAGGGTCTATAAATGGCTGCTTCCTGAGCTCTAAGCCAGTGTGTCTCAACCTGTTTGTCTTAACACCTCCCCCCAAGACTTGAAAAGGTAGAGGGCTGAAGCCACCCAGGGCTGACAGCCTGAGCCCATGACCTCCCTAAACTTGTCCTGTGACCCCTCGGAGGGTCAAGACCCCCAGGTTGAGAAACCCTGTGTGACGGTGCCCCCCCATAAGGCTTGATGGAGATATGCTTATGAATGTATACATGACATAACTGGAATATGTTTTATGCTACATATGCCATGTAACATATCTCTGTAGAGGTTATGATCTACTGAATCTATTAATCCTATTTGTATGCATGTATCATTTTTGTATTCGCAGTTATGAATATTGGCTATATACTTGTTTGAGTTGGAGTAGGTTTTAGTGAAGCAGTTGGTCAGTTTCCTGAGAAAAGACTATTCTCAGTAAGTGCCCAGTCAAGAAGCCCTTAAGCCAACAATGAACTTGGAGATGCCAATCCACATCTGGGCTTTCCCAGGAATGTGGCTTGGCTGGTAAGGAACTCAGTCATGTTTGGACATGTGACTTGCCCAGGTGACGCCAAAACTCCGTTTTGTAGCTGGACTTTGGAGACCCCCTCCTCTCTCCTATGCACCCACAAGACAAAGTCTATTTAAACCCCTGGGAGACCCCTACATTTTGTCTTCATCTGGCTAAAGAGAGAGCCTCTCCACCCCCAAAGATACCTGAAAGAAACTGGAACAAAGGACAGTAACTACAGGGGGTGTGAGTGATTGCTGGACCCAGACCAGAAGGAGATTAGTCTGTAAGAGAGAGCTTGCTGGAACTGGTGCGGTTTTTATCTGTGTTCAGTTTTGTTACTGTACTAGACATAGACTTGTGTGTTTTATTTTATTTTGCTTGATAATTCACTTTGTTCTGTCTTTAAAACCACTTAAATCCTACTTTCTGTATTAATTAACCCAGAGTATGTATTAATACTTGGAGGGGGAGGCAAACAGCTGTGCCTATCTCTCTATCAGTGTTAGAGGGCAAACCATTTGAGTTTACCCTGTATAAGCTTTATACAGGGTGAAATGGATTTATTTAGGGTTTGGACCCCATTGGGAGTTGGGCATCTGAGTGTCAAGGACAGGAACACTTCTGTAAGCTGCTTTCAGTTAAGCCTACAGCTGTTAGGGGACGTGATTCAGACCTGGGTCTGGGTTTGCAGCAGGCTAGCGGGTCTGGCTCAAACCAGGTAGGGCACTGAAGTCCTAAGCTGACAGGGCAGGAGCAGAAATAGTCTTGGCACATCAGTTGGCAGCCTCCAAGGGGGTTTCTGTGATCCAACCTGTCACACCCTGCTCTAAGCAAGTTGGGGTATGGGTAGTCAGGTGCCATGTGACTGACCAGGTAGGATGACAGAGCAGGCTCTGACTGAAACAGCTTCCCCCAGGGCAGATAAAACATCCATGGTACCTTATTCTAACTCAGCAACACTTTAAAAATGAAGAAGCTGCAAATTTTCCCCACCCCACCCTTTTGCCAGTCTATGTTCTATCTTATTAACCCTTCTGAACCCTGTAAAGCTCCTTTTAAAATAGGGGAATAAATATGGATGAATGATTGTCAGCTGGGCTGGCGTAGGAGCACATAGGGGATATGTGATGTTCACTAGGATCTGCAGCGAGCCCGGCTTCTTCCACACACTGGTCACCAACCAGTTGTCTGGCGGTGATCTTTGCACATTGATTTAACACAAATATCTATCAATCATACATCCCCTTTGAAGTAGGAGAGCTTTTCTCTGCCGCTACCAGTCCCACATGTAAAACCACACACATACTGCAATTAATTCCTTTCTGCAGCCTGCAACATCCTGTACCTTTGCCCACTTCCACCATATGAGATTCTCTCTCTGCATCACTTTATTGGCTTCCCTGTAAACAAATAACTTCATTGACTCCCAGATGCTATCAATGCTGATACACAAAGGACAGTTAAAATAGGGCCCATGGCTAAAACTCCTGCTCACAGATGTCAGCATCCAGGTGAAGCACATAGAGGCTAATTTGTAGGTACAGTAGTTAATAATCCTTTCAGAATGCTTCAGTTCAGCCACCACTGACCATCTTCACCACCCTGCTCCTGTGAATTCCAGTCTTGCAATGTTTGAGAATAAAACTCTGTTTCCATGAAGTGGTCAGATGCAATGCAGGCAGGCTGCTGCAGTGCCTTGAGAACTTCTGGACCTTACAATGGTAGTTCCCTAACTGGCTCCCAGCTTAAATTGGGTGGACAGCTAGCTTCTTGGTTACTGGGAGCCTGCTCTTCTATTAAGCCAGCTTCTTATTGTCTCACTACACGAGGAACAGCATTTGGAATGGTAGGATCATTGCCAAGGAATGAGGCTTTCTTTGCTGCAAGAAGGCACAGCCTACACCTTTGGGAAGGGTTGCTCACTTATTTAGATTGTAGGGCAAGTATGTTGGGGGAAACATGCACAGCCCTTGCTCTGGCATAGACTTCTTTACCCCTATGGCATTCCTATGAAATGGCAATTCTATCCCTGCCCAGGCAGGTATTAGTTATACAGGCTTTCCTAATATTTAATCTGAACTTTCCCTGCAGTCTTATTTCTATAAGGACACAGTCGCATCCCACCAAGCCCTTGTGAGAGGGACAGTGATAAACGTGAGACATGCTCCCGCAATAACTAGTTACTGGTAGGTATGTGCTCCTCCTGGACATTTACACTGATAAAACCTAAACTTACGTATAATTTTGTCCAGCTACTGCTCTGTTCTCGCTGATGAGCCAATGTATTTTTGAGTGATCAGAGCCAGTTTTTCATTAGTTTTATTTGCTCTGCCTTTTTCTCGAAAGCTGCCCTGCGCTTTTCAACAAAGCGTGGCACTGGCCCCTGACTGAACAGCCCCCTCTTTCTGGATCATTCACTCCAGTATAGCGTAGGTGGGTTTTTATTTTTGGCAACAGTGTCACATGAAGCCTGTCAGTTTGTCTCACAGGCTGAGCCCTGGGTTCCTGTGGTACTGTTATCAGGGAGGTAATTTTATTTAACTCCAACTCAAATGCAGTCAGATCATGCTGCATTTTAATCCTCTGACTTTGATTGGCAAGCTCCCCACTCAAACCTCCTGAAATGAAAAGGCTGAACAGCAGGATCCAAAGAAAAGATATGGGTTTTCCTGTTAACTTAGCAGGAGGGCAGTGACTTTCTAGCATAGCCATCTCCCTAACATACCTTGAGCCAACCAGAGCCTCTGAAAGGAACTACCTTGCGGATTATGCTATTAATATATTGCACGAGCATAAGTTTTAAAGTTGTAACCTTAAACACATGAAAAAATACAAACGTTCGCGAAGAACCTTAATCACAAGGCATAGTTTTGTCGTAGATTTCTCTGGACACTGAAGTCAACTGCATGACCTCAGAGGACAGGTACTAGCCCATATCTTAACAGTTTGACTAGGAATTCACAAGGCTCTGTAAAATGGGGGGGGGGGGGGGAGTTATTGTGAGAAACAACTTCTGTACATACCAATTTGAACATTCAACCTGTAGCATTTGTATTATTACCCTCACATCTAAAAAAGATTCCTTTCTGCACTCACACACACCCAAACTTTCAAGGTGATTAGTAATGTTCACCTCTGAGTACATGTGCAGAAGTCTTTCTACAGTAAAAGCAGTACTTATCACCCTCCATTCAAAACAGAGCAGCCATTTTGGCTTAACCTTTCCAATAAAAACCTGTTTATCTGTGGTCCAATATTAAACATAGAAAAAAATCAATTAAGAGGAGAAGGTTGGGCATTTAATGTGAAACTAACTACAGCAGGCACCAGGAAATGGAGGTGCTCCTGTGAGGAGTGTGTTTCTGAGCAGAGTACCTCACCTTAGACCTTCAAAGAAATTTCCCAATTTTTAATAAAAAATCTAAATATGCAACAGTGTAGCAGGAAATTCCAGCTTGGGGTTTAGGATCCCATCACAGCTACAAGCAGCCCCCTCTGCATTTGGCTTTACTGTTTGAGCTTAGTGTGGCCATCCCCAATTCATAAGCCATAAAAGGTGCCCCCTTCCCTGCCAGGAACAGGGTTTTTTTTTTTTTTTTTTTTTTTACACATAATTTGTGATAATCTTCAGAGAGCCCCTGTGGTTAGTTTGTGTTGGATTCAGTCACATGCACACAACGTAGTGCAAAGGCATCACAGTCCACGCTCATTCTGTACCATGCATGTGCTCCCACCCCCAAGGCAAGGAGGCTGCCAGCAGCCTCTGAAAAGCTGTGACACCCCTGTCTGCCCAGACAATGGCCTCACTATTCAAAGGAGACTGGCCTCTTCCTTGTTTTAGTCTCCCACGCTTCATGCTCTAAAAAGCAAAAATAGTTTCCCATTGGAAATTAGACCTACACTACAGTTCAGCAAGGTTTACTAACAGAGTTGGACACACGAATTAGTCACAGCAACACGGATCCTGTTTGCAGAGAGAAGCTTTTTATTGTACTTTGTTGGGAGCAAATGAAACATGTGAGCTGTACATACTAAGAATGCAGCAGTGCCAGGTTACATTCAGGGGCAGGTGAGACAAGATTACAGTGCAAATATCCGTTAACACACAAACCACACGCAGAGAAGCCAGCTGAAATCAAGTAGGGTAGATACAGCATTACAGGTAATGAGGCAACTTAACATATAAGAGCATTCTATTTATTTTGCTGGTTGCTTTATAGATGCTGTGGGTAAACATACCCTATTTTAAAATTCAGTCTGCAGTTACTTTGCCCCCCAGTTAAAACACCATTTGGAGTATTCACATTACACTTTTTACAATATACACAACTAAGGTTATTGCCAAGTTACTTCCTACTTCCAATTACACTATTTACAATGTAATATTCAGGAAAAGTTTCAACATCAGAGTGTCCTTTACATGAACTAGGAGAAATTGTATATTTTGTAATGCATTCTATAATTAAGCCACAGGGATCTCATGTACTTTATTCAGAAGTTTCTCTCTCAGCAATTCTTTTAATAGAGCAAGTTACTGGAAAAAATAGATGGATTTGTCCAGTATGTTACTGAGAGTGTTCATGGATTGAATAGTACAAGTTTAGATCTTTATAATCAATTCTAGATCCAATCTTAGGGTAAAAATAAATGTTCTAGCCTCAGTGCATGAATAAGTACATCTGTCAGCGAAAGGTCAGATTCTCTATGGATGAAAAGGGGAGTTAGAGAATAGATCTTTTGTTTGTTTTTCTTTGTGGGTCAGGATAGTAAAGTCATTGAAGTCTAGAAAGAGAAATACACAAGTGATTTATAGGATTACATTCTCTATCTCCAGTATGTGTGCATATTTTTTACACAAAGGCTAAAGGAAGAGAACCGGAACCTCCCTATGAACACTGGAGACTAGCTCCTATCTCGAGGCAAAATAGTCCTGTACAGACCCCCATTTGCTGGAGACTGCAGCAATGGGGTGGGGTCACAGTGGCACCACCTCCAGAGAGCTCTCCCCCACAAAGCACATTTTCATTTAGTTCAGTTCAGTTCTGAACCTGGGCATGGCCAGCCTGAGTCAGTGACTTAGGTTTTGTTATTGTGAACTGGCTTCTGTGCCTCTCTAAGCCATGGATTCTCCAGTGCAACTCACTCCTTAGGAGACAGGAGCAGTGAGTTTAGCAAATGAATTTAAATGCAAAAACAATCAATACAGAGTTGTCAGATTCCTCTGACATGCAGCTAAACCAAAGAGGTTTCCAAACTAAAATGGAGAGAGAGAGAGAGAGAGAGAAAGTGGGGCCTGCCTGAGCATGAAATGCTGGTTTAAAGCTTCCCCTCCATCTTTCTCTTACATCCTGTAAGTAGAGTTGTAATACATTTGACTAAAATCACAACTGGGCTTCCAGAATTTTTCTGACTTCCAAATCCTGAATTTGCTCAGTGTAACTCCTCCAGCTGAGTTTCTACCTCCTAAATCTTCACCAAAGATCCTGCAGCTTGAATTCTAGCTGACAGTTCATGCCATGCTTTGGACAGTGTAGCCAAGATTGCTCACCTTGAGACAGCTTGGAGAGCAGGTCTCAAGTTGGGCACCTGAAACACTGGCCACTTTTGAAAATCTTGGTCTCCTTCTCCCAGAAATGCTCTGCTAAGTTAAAAGGCATGAGAGGGAGCCATGGTACAAACATCTGTCAGTTACTTGGGTGCTTTTGAAAATCCCACCCACTGCCAGTGTCAGAATTCCTGTTTAGAATGTGAATGTTCCTGGGTATCCCAAAATTCTGGTCTAGGTGGAAATCAGATGACTCTTTAGCAAGAGAAAGAAATAAGGGACCAGAGTTTGGTCTCTGCCTAAATTAGGTGGAATCCATCATCTTCATGCAATAGGAGAATTTGTTGATCCAAGATATCTTCAGTTTGGTCAAATATTGATTAGGGATAGGATCACAAATCTGACACTGTACTTTCAGAAGCAGAAAACACTGAGGCAGCTTCCCCTTTCCTTTCCAGCAGGGCAATAGTTTAAACTTTAAACTATTTGTCCTTAAGGACTGTCATGTTTTCCACTGTTTAGTTTTCTAGCCAGGTGTTTAAGGATCTCTCTGTCCCTAACAGGGCAGATAACTAGACAAAACTTGAGTTTTTTTCTGTAGCTGTTCAGAATTGCTTTGGCTCCGAGGGCAGATACACCACCTTAAACATGCATTGCCCACAGTGTGCTCTGTATGTGCTGTAGCTCCTGTCTTTTACCAATTTAAAATGTTTTTCCCTAGACAATAGATGTCATTAGAAATCTGCACCAGCCTTTATCACGGTGCTCAGATGCACAGAAATAATCACTGGAAAGAGTTGTAACAAACAGTATTCATAGTCACTGCTAAATCCCACTTTTTAACAACAGCACAACTCTGAATACCGCCCTGCATTATTTTGCTTTGTGTCACATGCAATAAAGTCTTCCTTCTGGTTGGAAAATAGGAGGCTCTTTGCAAGAAATGTTGAATAAGCAACATACATTGGTTAAATTCTACTTTTTTGAGGTCAGTTTCTAGAATACCCTATCAAGCTGCAAGATTAATGATTGAGAATGCAGGTTTTTCCACATGCAAACAGCATTAGATTAACAGTGCCAGGCTGGCTACCTTTGTCCACTCTGCAGCCCTTCGTGCGGTAATACAGTGTTGCAGGTCTCACCAGCGCTCTGAATTGTGCCTATCATCTTAAGATGCAGTTGCTGTCCACTGCAAAGCTGACACTGTGGGGCCCCGAGTAATTCTGTATGGCTTATGCTTACACAAGCTTGTGCTTTTGAGAACATGGCACAGTGTTCATATGAAATTTCCCTGCATAGTTTAACCAACTAATTCATGGCAATTCTGAGGAGTGAAGCTGAAAATCACTTTGTGCTTTACTCCGTTAATTACGGTATTGTTTTATCTCTAACTTCCTTGTTGAGTTAGGAGAGAATTAGACAGGAATATTTTGACATTCCATTCAATACTGATCTGACGAAGCTATTGGGGCTTTGTCACTACTAGTTATATTGAAAGAGCGTGCCTCTCACCATGCAACTCCAGTTCGTTACAACAGTAACCCCTCTGCTTTACAGCCAGGTTCTATGGCAAGAGTTCAGAGTCTAAGCACAGAGCCCCACTCTTGAGCACTATCTAAATTAACAGGGTTCTGCTGTTAATTCAAAATTCATCTTCATGGTAACAGTGCATAGAACGCAGTGGGGAATTTCATCTTCTCATTGGATCTCACGCACTGACTTCTGAAATCTTTCCATTCTGTCCCTGTGAGTTCAACCATAAAGCATGCCTCCAGCTCTATAATCTAATCTGCTGCAATGATGTACCCAGAAGTCTTTAGCCTCACTACCCTGGATATTTTAAAGTCTTGAGTTGAGGCACTGACAAATACTGAGGGCTTGTCTACACTACTGCACGGGGTTGATCTAAGTTATGTAACTTCAGCTATGGTAAGTCGACTGCTGACCCTCTCCCATCGACTCGGCTTGTGCTTCTCGTTCTGGTGGAGTACCGGAATCGACAGGAGAGCACTCAGCAGTTGATTTATCACGTCTATACTAGACGCGATAAATCGACCCCTAGTGGATCGATAGCTGCCCACTGATCTGGCAGGTAGTGTAGACGAGCCTTGACACATTATACTGGGTGCGAGGGGAGAGGGAAGAGAAATAGTTCTGGTGACAGATACCAGATTTGCAGCCATAGAGGCTGAATCCCTTTTTTTACATTTATAGCATTGGCAGTGCAGGCCTCCCTCCAACTTCCTGCTAACATGCCTTACCCGTCAAGGGTGGAGAAGGGAGGTTCAGTGTCCATTTCTGCCACCGGGCCTCTTCCTGCCCTCAGTTCATTCTAATGCTGAACAGGGAACCTGGTGCTTTCGGTAAGTGGATGAGCGTGCAGCTAGAAGCTGCATCCATCAGAAGTGGTAAGAACTCAAAAGCAATAGAACCATGCTAGAGGGGCAGGGCCTAGGGCCCTTTTCTCCCATGTCCACACAGGTTTTGTTGTTTTTTTTTAAAAAGGTCTGACTCATTCCAGCCAGTTTGCAGCTGCTTAGTTCCCTTTAGAAGTGGTTGGGTTTACATCTTCCTGCAGACACATCAGCCCAGCTGTTTTCACACACACCCACTTCTAGCCCACCAATCATGAAACATCTGAGTGTTCTTAACCTTCACCACAACATACAGAGGATTGCACCTTTAACAGTCAAATTGCCACAGGCATTTAGGTTGGGTAGATAATGGGATATGTGGCTCTGCAGTTATTACATATTTCAGATGCCTTGTTTCTTACAAATCTTGTTGATAATTCAGCCATTAATAATAAGGTGGCTGAGAAAAGGCCTTCAGACTTTGCCAATTTTTCTGCAGACTCCTTTTAGACTATTCATTTAATTTTTTAAAAAATATACTTAAATAACCATTAAATTACCCTGCCTATGCCTCACAATATATGGTACTAAAATGTAAAGAGCAGGACACCAAATACAACAGGATAAAACAATCCAAAATAGATTTTGGGCATGGAGATTCCTATTTATTTTGTGTACTCATTCAATTGAATCGGGACCCCTGGGCTCCCATCCCAGATCTGCCATTGACATGCTCCCTAGCCTTGGGTGAGTCACTCTGCTGGCCTTTCTTTCCCCAGCTTAAAATGGGGTGAACCTCACCTCACAGGGAGATGAATGTATCCATGGAGGGGAGGGGTGGTTTATTGCAGGATGGGTGGGTGAGATTCGGTGGCCTGCATTGTGCAGGAGGTCAGACTAGATGATCATAATGGTCCCTTCTGACCTTAATATCTATGAATCTATGAATCTATGAATTCCAGTTAGACTCCCAAGCTAAAGATTTTATCTGAATATTTCATGCAGTCACTGAATTTAAACTTCTGCTGAGATGAACTGGGCTCTTAGAGCTGATGCAGCTATATTTTGCAAAAACACTGCACAGTGTCACATAGCAATAGACAGCACCAACTCTCTTAGCAAAAAGCCCCAGATCATAGGGATGGACATTCTTGACCTTCACACCTGCTTTTGCTTTCCACTAAGAATCAGTTACAAAGTGAACCACCTACCTGTATGCTGAGGTGCTCCTGTTCCAGTGCTTGGGGGGAAAAAAGAGGGGTTTCACGGCCATTAATGAAACTATGCACTGAGTTGAGATATACCAAGGTATGAAGCATTAACAGGTGTGGATAAGTAGTAGAACAATGGCAGAGAACATTCCTGATCAGATTTCTGTCCTGTGCCAACACGCAGGGTCAATTAACTTACCAGACTCGATGGTTATCATCCAAAATGTGATCTGTCAAGAAATTAAGGATGAAAACAGATGCTACAATCCTTGGGCATGGATTTCCGTGTGGCTGACAGCAAGAGTTTCTCCTGAGAATTGCTCTGAAATGGCTATAATAAAATTTCCACTTTATTACAGAGATCAGTTTCACAACAAACTAGATTTGCTAAAAGAGTAGAAAAATGAAATCACTGGGCAGTTAAGACAAGCCGTCTGCACCCATTAGAGATAGTAAACATGTTTTTTCAAGAGATTTATTCAGTGATGAGATTAAAGAAGGATAGGTGCCCTCTGAATACTACACTGCTGCTACTGGATTTTTAAGGCAAAAGGACTGCACATAACAACAGTCTTCATTTGAGTCCGGAAGGTAGGTAGTTTTCAATCTCCTGATGTCAGAGACACAGGTCCTCCCCTGCCTGGAAACACCAACACTTACCTTGTGTTTGCAAATCATCATGTATCCAAGAAAGTCAGTATTTTTTGCTTTTAGGCGACACTGCCCTTTAGCTGTTTAGCTCAGCCACACACACTGGATTTCTCTGCATGAGCTGCCTCTGAGACCTCATTGGAACCAGTCTGAAATATTAGGGTTTCTTTCCTCAACAGAAGAAGCCTCATTAATCTGAATTTAGTGCAGGCTGCTATCTAGCAGAATTCCAAGCTGCCACAGAAACAATCTCACCCTTCCGTTATGGGTACATGGAGGCAAAGGGTAACTATTAAGCCAGTGCCCCAGAGAGGAAAGATCACTTTTGCTAGAGAGTGGTCAACAAGGACTCCAGATACCGTTTGAGGACTGAGTTTGAATCCTGTGACATATCCCCTCAGTGCCTGAAGTTAAAGAGACAAAGTGAGGAAGGTAATATCTTTTATTGGACCAACTTCTGTTGGTGAGAGAGACAAGCTTTCGCGCTTACACATACCTCGTCTTCAGGTCTGGGAAACTAATGGAAAGTGTCACTGCCTGAAGTGAAGTAGCAGACATTCTGGAGAAGTTCCTCCAGACTTGAATGCTCCATAAGCAATACAAGTAGGTGGAGCATATGTTCACGCTCCCTCCACATCAGAGGAGTTGTGAATGAGAAGATACAATGACAGCTGCAGAACTTGGTCCTGTATGTTGTCCCCTTTGTCCGTAGGAATTGCCAGACTGGATCAGATCAGTACTCCATCTAGTCTCAGGTTGTGGCCAGCGCCACATACTTCAGAACAGCCAGCCCACAGGGAAAGGTTTCTTCCTAGCCCATTTGGAAATCTCTTCATGCTAGTGTCCTGTTCTTCTGTCCTGCCCAAGAGGGGAATTGTGGTCAATGAATTTTTCACTCAGTGGTTGCTGGGGAAAACCACAGACTCAGAGTGGTTTTTTGTGTGTTATAGGCCTTTACCTAACTAAGATCCTCCTGCGGTTAGAGAATATAACCTTTTTATGAGTAAGACACTTTACAGATCACCCTTCTGCTAGAAGGCAAGTGCAAGGATCCCTTTTCTCTCCACAGCGTGAAGACAGCTGAGCTGGGTATCTGCGTGCGATGGGAGCAATAGTCACCACTGCCTGAATGATAAATTAAAATTCTCCATCAAAATTCACCATTTTCTTAAAGCTTTTCAAAAGGTTAATTCAAGGCCATTAGAATGTGATGCCAGAAAGTGCCTACAAAGCTCCTGCTGTAAAGATTCCACAGCTTAAAACCCCCCATTCGGTTATTTACTGGGATGTTGAAATAGATTTTGCTCCTCCCAAGCTCCCTGACAGAGAATCTCATAAAAGCAAAAGGTATTTAGCTCCAGTGCAACTCTTGGCAGCAGGACTGACAGAACATTAAATGGGAGCCATCCTGATTGCTGGAATCATGTAATTAACTCCTGCTGGCTGCATGACAGCAAATTAGACAAATTAGGAACCACCTCCACAGGCGCTAAATTGCCTTTTTTTTGTGCAGGCTGGATTGTGTCCTCCGTCCGACAGGAACCACTTGCAGCAAGAAGCTGCATGCTACACAGTCGCTGCATGTACACAGGAGGCACTCTCCAGCTGAGCAGCACAATGCCCAGGAATAAGGTTGCCCTGTTCCAAATACTGAATGCATGTTAAAGAAGAACACAGATAGCTATAACTGGCACAGAGATGATGTAATGGCAGGATGCACAACTCTTCTGCTAGCTAAGAGAATGGCCCTTTACAACTGTTTATACTGCTGTTGGACACAAGCAGTTTAGCCCAGTGATGGGGTGGGACCTACACCTCAAAAGGCACAGGCAGCTTTTAAAAAAAAATATATCCCCAGCACGTACAATAGGGTTAATATAAGATGACTGACAGACAACAGCTGCCCTTCAAACTAAGCCAAGGCCCTTAAAACATCCTCTCAGAAAGAGCCTGACTGAACAAATCTCTGGTGGTTGGGGAAGCAAGGCACAGAGTCCTTCAAATACCCTACACCACAGACATGAACCCAAGCACTGCTACTGACCTCACCCACGAGCAGGGAATATGATGAAAAGGTAGAGACTTTAAGGTATCCAGGATCTAAACCATACAGAGCTTTGTAGATCCAGACTAAATAGACAAATGCTAGGAATTACACCTGGAAATGAAGTGGAAGCCTGTTTGTTCTCTGGAGCATAGGTGTGACATACCGCAAAGCTTCTGTATGGCTTTCAGACACACTTTCAGGTCACCAGCTGACCACCAAGCCAGTACCATGTTCTGTTCTCCCTTTCCTGGGGTTAAATGTCATTTTGGGGACATATGGAGAAGACAGTAAACTGTAGACTGAGTCAGTAGTGTCTTAGCTGATCACCATCCTGTATGGTGGTGCAGCAAAAGGCAGGCTAATGCTATTATACCAAAGGAATATCCCAGAGGGAATTATTTCTACCCATATCTTAACCTCTCTCTTTCTGTAGGAGTTGTCACTTATTCTCTAATTCAGTCAAGAATCTACCCAATGTCCAAATTGCCCAGTAATCCTGCCAGAGTCAGTGTCAGTCCCACCCATCTCCAATCTAGAGAACATGCTAATGGGCCAGTCAATTATCTGGGGGATTTGGTATCTTAATCTCTTGGTGCTAGGAGTAATTTCTAAAGCACACATTAGAATCAAATCAACTAACTCCAGGGGTTAATGAAGGAAGGGAACACACCAAACTGTGTATCTCCTTGTCTGTCGCTAATTGAAAGGGACTTCCTCAGAACTCTGAGCCAGAAGTCCAAGCTACAAAATAACAGTGTTTCTCCCTTGTTCTTAAAGATCCAACAGAATACACATAGCAGCTATAAAGTAAAGCTTATGGAGTCAACTTTGCATCTAGGCCTGTTTAAATGCATTCCAAGCTATGAACCTAGTAACATTAGAATTGCAGGCTAAAGGCAATGTATACCCCTCTCCTCTGCTGACTTACCTGTGATTTAAACACCGTGCAGATATGGCTACAGAAGAGAGCACTTTCTACTTCCCCTTGCAGACTACTGCCTGCCCAAGTGCACGTCAGGTAGATGCAACCCATGCTAGTGGTCAAGAGTGACCTGACATTCCAACTAGTTTAAGAACTGTGAATGAGAGTCTAAAAGAAAATTTTCAGAAGTACCTATGTGACTTCGGCTCCTAAGTCCCATTTTCAGAAGTAACGTAGGAGCCTACGTCTCAATGAAAATCAGTGGGACTTAGGATCTTTGGTCACTTAGGCACTTTTGAAAGTTTTACTTTAAGTTCCGCTGACTTTCAGTGAGAAGTAGGCTCCTAAGTGGTGAACATTTCAGAAGGGCATCAGTGGAACCGAATAAGGGACTGAAGCAATTAAATGGGGGTAACCATGGACAAATAAGGAAATTCAGGCTTAACTGTTTTGTTGAAGAGCACTCAATAAATGGAATAAACTGCCAAATAAAGGCCACTTAAAATCAAACTCTCTCAATGAGTGAGAAGCAGCCAGGCATTTTATTAAATCAGTACCTGACCTGGACAGTGCCTATCACCACCTGAGCTATTCAGAGGAAACCTGAAGAGGAGTTAATTATAATATACCTTACCTCTGATGTGAAATGTATAAAACATTCCTCCTCCAATGCTTAACAGAGCAGCCTGCTATTGCTGCCCATTCTCAATACAAGACTAAGCAATCCTCTGCTAGTGAAAGATTCAGACCTTGACTTTAAGTGGGTCTCAGGGGAAGGAGTCCCAAATTTGTGCCTAAAGATAACTGTAGATCCAAATCTGCACTATGTAATAACTGTGTGAGCATTTTACAGCATTTCAACAGCTCACTGATTGCACCCACAATGTAGTTAGATGTTCAAGTGCTATAATGTACAACTTGCTTGCAAAATTGAGTCTGAAGTTTTTTCCAGGTGCAAAATTAGATGCCACTTGTCAAACCAGGCTCTCCCATTGACATTGGTTGAGTTTATAGTTAGCAATTTGTCCAGTAACAGACTATTAATTCTATCCAGATCTTTGCTGGACTGAGTTACTAAGGGTAATCTATACCTAAGATTACATTTTCTGAAATTATGATTTTTTCAGTTGTTAAATAAATGCATTTAATTTACATAGTGTGGTGACTTACCTGCTTACTACAAAAAATACTGTACTATGAGCCTGGTTTACCACTACATTATTCAATGTGCTTACCAGTTTTACAGCAGTAGAATAGTGGTAAATCAAGTCTTTTGTACCTTTCACGTTTGTGTATTTAAGAGTGACTATGGGGCCAATATTATTCTGCATTTAAAAGCCACATTCTAAGTACCATTTTTATATGAAAAGAGTTCTCAGCAACTTTATATTACAATGACAGTACATTGTTATAATATGCAAGAGTATGTAAAACAAATTTTAAAATGACTATTTAAAAAAAATTTATACACATCACATACACTTAGGCCTCAATCCAGAATCATTTTAATCCAAGTAAATTTTTGTAAGGTAAACTTAAAATACAGAATTACTTATTAATGGTTCTGTCTTAATTCCTAGTTTTACAAAACCATGACCAAGCAATTTATTCATGCTGAGTTAATCACCATCACCCCCCCAACCTCCCTTTATGAATTAATTTGGCCTAATGTAATTTGGTCTCGTACATTTTAACTTCAATATTCTAAATATTACCAAAGCTTTTCCTCCTTCCTTTGTAGATTAGCATTAATAGTTTTTGGGAAAAGATTACTTTCTTATTAATTAGACAATATTATGTAGTCAACAGTACATTTCTATTCTGTACACCTATAGAAAGCCATGTTATGGCTTTCTGTACAAACCATGTTGGTTAGCAGATATTTTGGCTTTGGTACACAGCTAAATTTTTCCACTAGAAAGGAAAGAATGCAGTGCTTGATACTCAAGAGTATCAATATGATTAACTTTTCAGACTACACAAGAAGGGATGTTTGGAGCAGAATTATTTACTGGTAAGACTAATGGATTCCTTTTTTCTTATAAACTAATATCTTTTAACATCAATAGTTTTTTATCTTAAACTAAAATAATTTCAGTGGCCTTTAAAAAACACAAGATTGGAAATAAGACCAGTTGATTTTTTTCCTTAAACAATTAAGATTTTGAAATTAAATAAAGGCATAATAAAAGCTCATGTCATATATATGATTCATCACATGTATATGGGAGTTGAAAAACAGTAATTAACATATTCTTCAAGCTGAGAATAAAAATTCTTACCTTTTTATACCATGATCTCTGCTTACAGTCATTACATTTCAGCTTATTTTATACAAGTGCATATGGCTACGAAGGTCCGGAGAGAATGAGAATAAAGTGATATTAACCTGCTGAAAACTGCTTAAAAGTCTTATCCTGCAATATATAGAGGTTCCAACACCATTTAAATAAAAGACTTTCATACAGAGGCATCTGTGACTTCAGTTAATAATCCAGATAATTGATTCAATACCTCAAACATTAATCCAAACAGTTTAACGAAAAACAAACAAAACAAAAAAGTGAACTTAGAACAGCGAATTTTTTCTGAAATTTGCCAGATTCTAGAATGTCAGTTATTTTATAAGGATTTTAGGGAAAAAAATATCCATTTCAGAAGTGAAGTGACCTAATCCTTCCACCGTTTCACCATATTATTGTGAGGCATGGTTGAGACACATTAGTTCAGTTATACTTGGGAGAAAAGGTGGAACGTTTGCTGCCTTTCATGTCTTCTGGCATGTAGCAGCTCTGGGTTCAAGAATGGCCATTGTAAGCCGTGGTGGCAGTTTCTAGGTGAACTTTGATACTAAAGAGCTGAGCAAATTGTTCAGTTAAAATTCTGATTTAAGTGGTGAAAGCTAAGGTGGAGTTAACTGATTGAACTGGGAGCCCCACCAATTTTTAATGAAGTTCAAGTTTTATACATTGGTCTCTTCTTTCTGGCATGAAGAAATAACCAAGAGACATGTATGCACATTTATTGCTATGTATCCCAAAGAAGGACTGTGGCTTGCAATAAGTATTGCTTTTATTTAAAAGGATCTGAGTTCAGGGAAAATATCTTTTCAAAAAGGAAAAGCTCAGAGTTCCATATTTGAAGCTGAGACCCCCTCAAAACGAGTCACGTTTGTTCTTGCTTTTAAGACATCTACAATAGCCATTTCGAGCCAGACAACCTGATGGTTCTAGAAGTCAGAGAAGAAATCTTGAGGGCTCAAGTGAACAATAAAAGGTGCGATGCTGAGAGGCTGGCAATAGGGACTGTCAATGAAAAAACCACCTACAGTGGAGAAAAGAGCAGAGAAGCAAAAACTTCATGTTAATTTCAAAGGGATTGGCTGAAGCTAAAGCTCCATTTAAATTTCTCTGCTCCTTCAGCTGTAAGTGGAATTTTCATTGTAAGAGGGACACAAGTGGGCACTTTTAAAACTATCAAAACATCTAAACTTCCAAGGTGATCACTTTTTAAACAAAGAACCGACCGCTCATTCATATTTTCAGTAAAGCAGAGAAATGTAAAATATGCAGCAACGGGGCAAGTTTACAATGTGGTTAGTAACTCCCAACAAATGACAAAAAATGAAAAAATGACTTCATATAAATCATCTGAAATGACGGCCATCATGTTTTTGAAAAGAGCATAGCTCCCTCTGTTTAATGAGCTGGGGAGGAATAAGTTACTGGGCAAGTAAATTTTCAATAAATAAATATTTTCAGAACAAATTGTAGTTTAAAATTTAAAGTCTCAGAAATTCATGGATTAAAAAAACAAAACAAAACAAAAAACTTTATCATTAGCAGTTGCCAATCAAGAACACCCCAAAAAAGACAGGGATCATTTAATGAATATTGTATTACCCAAAAATGGGCTCTCATCAGCCATGCTTTTTCTGCTCCGTGATGGCTCCCTTTCATCCATAGGCCAGCAAAACAAGTCAATGATTTATCAACACTACTCAATTTGAAGGTACCCCCATCCCTGCCGTTTATCTCTCAGTGCTAATTCAAGGGATGCTAATGTCAGACTCACTGCTACTGTCAATAAAGGCTACATACTTTATTAAAGTACCACCACCACCAAATGAAAGCAAGAGCTACAGCAGGAAGAGAAACGTTTATGAAAAGATTTAAGCTCATTCCTAAGCACAAATGCTTGGTTTAAGAACAGCTGCTGTAGTTAATTCCAAGGAAAGCAGCTTGTTATACACTTCACCCCCTATCATGCTGTTCTATAGTTACTCTCCCTGCTATGAGAAACATACGTTGCGTTAAGCCCCGTTCTTACCACGTCATTTAAAAAAACCCACCCTCTCCCAAGAATAGAGTCTGAAAGAGAGCAGAGTGTATAAAGGCATCTTCAATACAGCACAAAACATAACAAACCTACTGAAAAGAAACTGGTGACCTCTGAATGGGGAAGTGCAACGAACAATGCCGCTTATTTTGTGGGGGTGATACCTTAATAAAAAGCACTTTATTCCTTCGTCTTAGAGTCCAAAGCACAACAGCTTTATACACAAGCCTGGAAATATCCTGGCGACAGTACGGAGCACGTCCTCTGCTCTATGCTCTCAGAGGGCGCATGCAGTCCTGACATTATAGATGTCGCCTTACTTGGGCACCAACTCGTATCAAAAAATGAATACTGGCCTATGGCTGAAATGTGTCACTTTTCACAGCAGCACTCAACAAGAACTGGGACCATTAAATAGCAAGTTTTCATGGGGACCTTGTTGCTGCTTTAGATTCTTATAATTGTAAGGGGAAAAGGAGAACCCTTTTTTTAATTAGAGACTGACCACTGAAATAACTGTAAAAATGCTACATGGAAAATCAAGGGTGGGCAGACAATCTTACAGAGTGAAGAAGGCCACAAGAACAAGTGCAATTTATTCTTTTTGGGGGGATGTGGGGGGCATTGTAGAAACATCTTTGGAACACTACAGAATTTAAGCATAACGTTACGATTGTCCTTTCTCTGGGCAATACAGACTTAACTATGTATTCCTCCAATTACAAAACAAAAGTCTTTGCATGGAAATTTCCCTTGTTTAACACAGGTTTCACAAAATATAACTGAATACAAAGAGACCAACTAGTATTAATAATTCCCTTTGTTTTCTTTTTCAGCATTTTGCATACAAATGAAGAGGCTTCTTGGAAAACGAAGACAGGGTCTACGTTACTGAGCCTTATGATATGCTAATTTCCTTGGTTTTAAAGATGCTAAGGGAATCCTTTCAAGGTACTGATGCTAAGATATATCAAAAATAATAAGCTAAGACAATACTTAAACCCATATTTTACTAGCTTTATTCACCTTAATATTTTCAAAGTTAAATTTTAATTGAGAAGTTTCTATTGTGTTACTGGTTTGTTTTTTTTAAAATAACTACACTCTGACTTAAGTAGTCCTACAACAAATACAGGTCATTAACTGAGTTTCTGTATGACTGCATTAGGAAACAGGCAGTACTCTGTGTTACGACAAAACAGTTTATTTGTGATCAGTGTTTTATATTCTATACATCCTTCACAAATTTAATTTTACATAATCGGATACTTCATTTAAAACGTAAGGTTTAAGCTTCTAGTTCTTCCCTATAACAGAAGGCTGGTATAAGTTATTTGAAAATGAGGTAACATTTCACAGAACATTTTTTTTTCAAGTTTTAGAGAACTAAATTTGCATTTTGTTAAAATCAAAAAGTAGGAAAAGATGTTTCTTTACAAATGACTTTGCTCAAGTATGTGTTCAAAGAAAACAGGATAAAAAGGCTTTTTTTCTTCTAACATTCTGTACTGTACTGTGTTGTTCAATCAATAGGAATTAGCTTCTGCCATTTGCTAAAAGAATGAGTAGTGGGGAACAGGATATGTTGGGAATTTCATAACTGGTAACAGAACCATTCTCTTGGGTATACCTACAGAGAGAAGAAACGGAGAGGACTCCAAATAAGTTCAATGATCCAATAAAGTCAAGTAAAAGCTTACAGTAATGTTCTCATTAACCCTTTCCAGATGAGTCAGTCAATGAGTTTTGAGGACATTGAACCCCATAAGCAAGACATTTCAACATTTTGTAATGCTTTAAACAGGAGTTTTAATAGAACATATTAGATTTTATTATCGTTCTGATGTTTATTAATTTAGCATGAGCAATATGTTCCAGAAGTAGTCAGTACTATGTTACACTGAACCAGACTGGATTTGGAAAGTTAATTTACATTCTTGTGACGATAGTGGGGATAATCTATCTTGTTCAGTGTCCTGAAGTAATTCGACAGGCCAGCTACAACTGCAAAGATTTGAGACAGTAAATGCTGCTGTGCATAACCGGACGTTCTTTAAAAAGTGGCACAGCACAGGTTTGACAAACCTCCCTTTGTATCTGTCCAACCCAGGCACTGATAACTCAATCAAGTTCTATATCCATTTAGACTTTCTGCATTTATTCATATTGTACTGAAGTGGCAAATCTGGAAAGATTAATATCTGCCTAATCTCAGAATTATTATAGCGTTCTTGTGGCCTCACAAACTTCTGCATACTTAAATACTTTTTTTAAATGGTTCCTATTTAAATTCTAATATTTAACCTACATATCCATTTAGAAATCACAAAGCAGCAACAGCAGGTATTCCAGAGCACCAGATGATCAGAGTGAAACTTCCCAACATGCAACAGCTTACAAAGGCAAAGAGACATATTTACCTTACAGCCAGAAAAGCATTATTTCAGTACTTTGCATCACAATAAGACATTAAAACAGAAAAACTCTTTATGCGAAAAATGGGGGCAGCAGATTTCACAAGACTTTGAAGTCAGCGATATGCCACACGTAAATATCTAAGCGATTACAATTCAGGCTCCAACACAGATGTCATGAGAAGATGGAGGGGAAGGAAAAAACAAACCAAGAGAAAAAAAGGATTGTAGGTAAAACTCCCAGCCCCGCTGAAGTCAATGAGAGTTTTACCACTTACTTCACTGGGGCCAGGACTTCACCCCATAATCTTATACATAACCTATCCGCCAATGAGAGATGCCGATAGTCAAGTATCAGCCATCTTAGACCATCCCAGGGTCATATTCAATACCCACTTCTTAATGTTTCATACGAAGTTGAAAGGTGCAAAAGGGATTGTTAAAAAAAAGCCACTGATGAAACAGGTCCTAAACTAAATATGTTAATTTCCTGCTGGGTGAGCGGGTAGAGGTTCCCTTTGTTATTAGTAACAGTGCAAGAAAGATAATCAAGAATACAGAATATGCTTTATGGGAAATGCTAGTATCACCTGCTGCACTGTGAAAACAGATGGCCAATTCGTATCTTTCTACGAAGGTAATAAAAGCTGCTTTAAATCAGAGGAAATTCCTTATCTGAGTAAAGGCACCTCACTGGCCAAGTCCCTTGCCCTGCTCCACAGAAGGAAGCACAGAATAGCAGCAGCTAGTCCTGCGTGGCAGATACTCCTAGACACCACCCATACTAGAGCCGGAGCATTGTCATCATCAGGGCACAGCAGAGGAGGCTATAGCTGTATTTATAGCGTGCATCATGGGATGGTAACAGTTCCTTCCCAAGGTGTAGAAATCAAGTGACCCAGTTCCACAATATTTCCCTGGTCAGATAAGGTTTCTACACCTGTCGTGTTATCAGGTGGAGTTACTGTTAGCCACCAATTTCATTCAGATTCGATATGGAAGCAAGCATTAGGAAAATAACGCAGCACAGGAATGATTGGTTCAGTGAGGATTAGGTTTCCCCTTTGAAAAATAAAAAAAGGCTGCTGGAGCTTACTCAGGTGGTTTTGCCATTTGAGAGCTACAGAATTTTACCCCGTTATAGAAGACGGGTTCTGTACATACAGAAGATCAGAACTGGTTCTGAGAGACAGCACCTTGCTTTACTCTCGCGTGTCGGAACATATCACTGACTCCAAACTGTTTTGCCCCCATTGCCACATAAACCTCATTCAAAGTAACCAAAAGGCCAGTTGGAGATAAATAGGCTTTATTCATCTAGTATTTAAAAAAGCTGGGGGGTGGGCAGGAGAAAGTACTCTAGAGCTATGAGAGAGGCCCTACGTTTATTTTAGTTCATATGAAATATATTGCACTGCCGTCTTAGATTTCACTGGGTTTCTTAGCAGAAAGGGGCAGTGCAAGTTATGGTGCCTTAGCAGGCTTGAAAAAAGAAAAGGAGGACTTGTGGCATCTTAGAGACTAACCAATTTATTAGAGCATAAGCTTTCGTGAGCTACAGCTCTCTAAGTAACCTACAGAAACTCAGTTGGCTTGACCCAAACAGCAGTATTTAGCCTGCAACTACATAAAATGTGTCTGGACTGGTTATGAGATGTCTGTGGCAGTGGGCATTTCAAACAACTGATTGCAATAAGAGGAAATGCCCACAAGTCTAACTTATGGACTATCATTTTACCAGTGTTTAGCCAAGGGGCATTAGAGTAATATTCAAGGATGTTAGATTTGGCCCTTAGGTATTCTTTGAATGGAGCACAAGTTGGCTGTAAAAAGTAGGAGAACTACTTTAAAATATTCAATTTCACTATGAAAGGGAACAGGCAGTTAGAACAAGCAGTCCTTCCACAATCAGGCAAAGCATAGGCAAAAAGCTACTCCAACCAAAACAAGAACCACAAGGTTATGGCATCAATTTAAAATGTCCTCATTGTCATATTTAAAGTGAGCTCTGATTTTCTTGGATCACACTTGCAAACTCTAGGGCAATCTCTATTTTTGGACTGCCATGATAGTTTCAATACTGTTTCTAGTGCAGTTAATTAATAGTTCATACATACCATAGGCTGGCGCAGCTGGGCTGTACCCATAAGGTGCCCCATAGCCTACAATACAAACAGAACAAGCATTTGGCTTTATTCCCCCCAACATATGAAGAATCATCAAAGGTCGCAAACTTAATACACGGGCCATACACAAAACAGAAAATCCATTCCCAGTTACGTTAAAATACTTAAGCCACATTTGGGTGTAATCGTTCCAGATTCTGGCTGCAAAAAAACAAACAAGCCATCTTCCGTGTTTTTTGGAAGCTTCAGCATAGAAGAGTGAAGCTCCACCTTTCTTTCTATTTTCCTTAATATTTTCTCTTGGTTGAAACTTTCCAGTCAATACGGTCGCACTGCAAGAGTTGGCAAGGCCCAGTTTACAGACTCTCTTAATAAAATACTGATATGACTTAATGCATAAAATAGTCATTGTCCTCAATCCCCCAGTTAGGAAAAGGGAAACCTGGAGGCCTGTGGTAAAGGTCCAAATCAGCAGCAGATATTTTTGGTGATTAAGAACACTGGCATTTGGTTTCCGCAGAGTCCAAACTTATTCCACAGAAGACATCTGAATGGCTGGATAGTAAGTAGGCACTGATGGCAGCTTAAAAAAATAAACCAAACCATCATGGAGATAGGAGGCATGCAAAGTTAGAGGATACATTCAGTTGCTGAATAAAAAGGAATGGTGACAGCATTGTTCTTGGTTATTACTGCTTGTTATTTCATTAAGACTTAGTACCATTCATGTCTGGTAAAGCTTTTTTTGAGGGAGGTTAGGTTGGGGTGGGGAAGGCTGAAGAGGAAAAAGGTACGTAGGCCAAGAGAAATAAATGCTTAACAAGTATGATGGCTGGGAAATTAAACCGATTTCTGGAAGAATTCCATGCTGGCAAGGACTGTGCCTCTAGCAGGTTACAATGTCTCAAACGACTCCTCAGGCAGAAAAGCAGTTTCAGAAACAATGTTCAAGGCCATTAAAAATGAATTACTGGTTTTTAATATTTATGGTTACATCAATATACAGGAACAATGAAGGCACCACATTGCTGACGGTGCCGGGAGGTAAATATATCCAACTACAGGCTGCACTATTAACGTCTGGGAACTGATGAAGGGTGCAAATTAGAATCTATACTATATCCTAAAGAACCTTGAGCACTAACGATCAGGGGTTTACTCTTTGGAAGCTAAGTGAACGTTGGCCATGGAACTTTGGAGGCATAGAGACCAAAGAATAAAATAAAATACACAGAAATGGAGGCGATTCCCCCTCCCACCCCCAACTCCTGCACATTATCTTCTACACCAGTGTGGTTCAACCTCTTCAGATTGGCAACCCCTTATTCAAACTCAAATTTTCGTGATTCCACGCCATAAAATGAATAGACAATGATAACCCTACGTAATTGGTTTGTGTAGCAGGAGAGATTCACAGAGAATACCTGACCTTGAAGGATAACAGTATGCAGGGAATGTGGGAGCAAGATTTTCTTTGTTTTAGATTGTAGTATGATTTTCAGTGCCTCACGACCACCTGCTCCCCGGGTGTTGACATCCATCAGGTGAGATACAGTGTTTTAGGTGAAGCGAAATATAGAGGAAACCCAGAAGTTGCTATGCACTTCATTGTCTCTGTAGCTACAGTTTTGTTTATTGGGGCTGCTAACCTGCCAATGGGAATCAACCCTAAAACAGCCTGACCAGCGATGTGAATTCTGCGTGAAGGGGCCCAAGTATAAATGGGAACCAAAAAGCCTTTTAATTTGGACCTGCAGTTTTGCTGCTCAAAGCAACGCAGCCAACATTACACAGCATCATCAGTCAGAATATGAATGTGAATTTCCTTCTTTCATTTCTCCCAACATGACAGCTGTTAATAGACATCTCTGCTCACAGCCCCAGATTGTGCAGGGTGCTCCCGAGAGCACAATGACTTCCAAATCTGCCAGCATAATCCCCACAGTTTGCGACTCTGGAACGCATTCCAGTACGGCAGCAAGTTCCATTCCAATAACCGTTCCCCAAGAGGACTGAAGGGTCTCTCTTACTGTGACTCAGACTGCTCCTAGAGGAGATTCATCAGGCGGCAAAGCACTCCTCATGGGAAGCAACGCGCACAGGACAGTACTTTCATTTTGCATGCACAAACAATACCCCTCTGCTCTTATTAAGGATAATCCTGTAGCATTATCTAGAATGAGAAACCCTTGGTAAGGCCAATCGTAATACTAACAGGCATCTTCCAGGAGACTTTACAACCAGGCACAGAGTTGTGGGAATCATGCCATGGTGAGAGTTATGAGAAAGGCAGATATCAGAATTACAAAGCCCCAGGGAAAGAGCTGGATAGCGATGTGCTCATCTTCCATGCACAATAAACCGCAAGCGAGATACATTTCCAGCTTTACAGACTCTCTGACTTTTCCCTTTATTTAAACCCCCATGCATTTCCCCCTATGGCTCTTCTCAAATGCTACAAAACTAAACAGGTCACCAGCATGGATGAGTCTGACCCATAGAGAGGTGAACATCAGCAGCCATAGTTCATCCACGGACAGTTGGGCTCGACAGACCCTTAGCTGTTAGTGCTATGACGTACCTGGTGTTATGTATCCAGTAGCAGCGGCTGCCCCAACAAATGCCCCTCGTGTTAAAGCGCCTCGACCTCTGCCTCGAGCAACCTGGACTGCTGCAGACACAGCTGTATTTACAACTCCTTTAGTCTGTGCAGAATAATAAAAATGGCATGATTCAGAACATGATACACAAGGCAATCCATGTTAAATCCAGCTAAATGATCTGTATGAATTACCTCTAATGTTATATTCAACCTGCCAGGCTTCTTAAAGGCAATACATACTCACTCATTCCATTCTGAAGCGTAGCTGTGCAGAGTTGGGGACTGTGGAACAGACCTATACGTGAGCTCACTAGTTCTCCATTTACAGAATCCCCTTCCCTGGACAGAACGAACGGAACATTGGCAGCTGTGCCAACGGGCATCTTTGTTTCATTCCAACGCCACAGTAATCAGCTCTCTTACTTAGCCGGAAAGCTCTTTGGGGCAGGGATGGGCTATCTTTTTGTCACATGTGCGATGTGACTCTGATAGGGCACCAATGTGCCCCTACACTCTGCTACTGATCTCCACCTCACTTGCCTATAGGGAGCTGCAGGGACGTGGGGTCCCTTCTGCAAAGCTGGATTTGTTACATCGTCAGAAATCCTGGACGCTTTTTGAGAGAGTGACGTGGCCCAGAGGAGAGGGGGAGGATATTGACCCTATTTCTTCCCACCTCTCCTCTCTGGCTTGCTCTGGCTTGCCTCCCCCACAAAGTGCTGAGCTAAGAGCTGGAGCAGTCAAGTTGGGGTGAGCGGGGGCGGGGGGGGAGCGGGAGGGAGGGAGAGAGAGAGAGGACAGAAGCATTGGCATTTTTATTGTAATATTTCCCTGTAACACATCAAAGGTGAAATCTCAGCCTTATTAACTTCAAGAGGACCAGGATTCTACCCCAAATGAAGCAAAAAAGCCTGGGTAAGATTTTTCAAAAATACCAACCTATCCTTATGCTCCTAAAGTCACGCTTAGGGCTTCTACACAACGTTTAGTTCACGGCAAGCAGGGCTGTAAATCTACCCTGCAACAGCTTGCCATGCACTAAGTGTCCGTGTGGACCCCCTGCTGATGCACATTAACAGCTAATACATGCTGATCTGGTCCCATTTCAAAAAGGACTAGGCTAACAATGTACGAGAGTTAGTCTGTGGCCAGGTTTCAGAGGAACAGCCGTGTTAGTCTGTATTCGCAAAAAGAAAAGGAGTACTTGTGGCACCTTAGAGACTAACCAATTTATTTGAGCATGAGCTTTCGTGAGCTACAGCTCACTTCATCAGATGTGGCCAGCTAGTTCAGGGTAGATTCACACCTCAGCTTGCCACTAATTGTTTGTGTAGACGAGCCCTTAGGCATCATTAAACTGGGTTGCCAGATTTTCAGAAGTGTTGGCCACTCAGCTCCTGTAGGTTGGGTTGGCAACTGTCAGATGACTGGCACATTTCAAAATTTGGCCACTGATTTTGACTTTTAGGAATCTTGGCTGCTTACAGTTAGACTCGTTCGATAGGAATTAAACTTGAAACAGAGTTACACTTCCTTTGGGCTAGTATGAGCAGTATCCATTCAATCTGATAGATCTTTTCCCATGACCTCACATGGAGATAGATTTGCACAGAATCATAGGACTGGAAGTGACCTCGAGAGGTCATCTGCTCCAATACCCAGCACTCATCCCTGACAGGTGTTTGTCTAACCTGTTCTTACAAATCTCCAGTGATGGAGATTCCACAATCTCCCTCAACACTGGGATTAATTGCTTTACTACCCTGACAGGAAGTTTTTCCTAATGTCCAACCTAAACTGCCCTTGCTGCAATTGAAGCCCGTTGCTTCTTGTATCCTCACAGGTTAAGGAGAACAATTTTTCTCCACCCATCTTGTAACAACCTTTTATGTACTTAATGTAATGGGCCATTTTCATACCTGGCTATTAGGATCCTATCCGTTTTAAATGCTGAGTGTCTCTAGTGTTAAGAATACATCCTTCCTACTTAATTTTTATTTTCTGGCCCACTGTAAGATCTATTCCCCTCTTACATGTCTGAATAAATCCCTTGCCTTCTCTCTTTTCATTTTGTTATAATTATCTTATTCCTTAATTACCTTCTGGCTCCGGCTGCTTATCCTACTCAGTAAACGCCATTTCTTAATTTTTTCTTCTCGAAGTGCACAATAGCTACACTTGTGTAGACAGCTCTGTTGTTCTAACCCTAGACTGCGCTGGCCAAATCTCCTTTAGACACTCTGATTTTTCCTTCTTTTTAAATAAAGGGAGAGAGTCTGCATGTGTGCATCAAACCGCATCGTTCCCCAAGCATAGTCAGCAGCTGCAGGCTAACCGGCAACCTCATGTAGCGGATCAGAGAGCTTTAGAAGAGCAGTATTAACATGGCTTATTGCAAAGAAATAAGAGCAGAATATGACTAAAAATCAGAGTCATATTCTTAACTGCCATCTGTGTGTGGAATAACATTCTTCAGGAACTGGATTTTAAAATAATAATGGAAGCTGAAGAACTTCCATGATGCAGGAACTAGAGGTCTCAGTGCGCCCAGGAGAATTCTATAAACATAATTGTTAGGTACAGAACTTAACGAATAATAATTTCTCTGACTGATAATTTCTGATGTGGCTGATAATTTCTCTGACTATATTTTATGCTGCAGCAGGATGGAACAAAATTCATTTTTGCAAAGACTGGAAAAGAAATCCTAATTCTAGTTAATCTGCACAATGCAGATCAAAGCTGTAACTGTTAGGACTTTTTCTGTGTGGGGCTCTCTGGAAGAAGTACACTGATAATATAGAACGGACAGATCACTGTGGCTCTCAGTAACCTTTTTAATTATTTGAATGATCAGAATCTAATATAAAAAGAAGATTGAAGTGAAGTTTTTATAAAACACATCCTCCTCATCCAGTGAAATGCTGCATTTGAAAAGGGATACCCCTCAAACAGTTTAGGCTCAAAATTCAGCTTAGTCTAGAAGCTAGAGGTTGTGTCTATCACCAGGCTATAAACAAGATATTCTTTCAGTCTGCCTCTGTTACTATCAGAGATGTAGCGCAGCCTAGGCTATTGCACTGGACTTGAACTCAGGAGACCCGAGTTCTATAACCGACTCCAGCCCTGAGCAACTGTGTGACCTTGGGCAAAGTCACTTCCCCTCTCTCTGTCTTCTTTATGTAAGACGGTAAGCACTTTGGGGCATAGACTGTTCTGTGTCTTTGTACAGCCCTAACACACCGAGGCCCTCACATCAGCTCAGGCCTCTCAGTCCAATTAACAAATTAACAACAACAGAGTAATAAAACCAAAAGACAATGCTTCCAATGGACCTGCTGAAAAACAACAGACTGAAGTCATGTGCCCCTCTGCAGCCACCATTATCTAATGCTACCCCGGGGCGGTGCTGACATAGGTAATGGTGCTAACTATACAAGGCAACTGGGGATTCTTACCTGAGGGAGAATCTTCTTTTTCTTATTGTTGGCTGCATTAGGCCCAGAAAAGAGTTTCTCAAGTGCTGCTAAAGCAGCGCTCGCTTTTGCCACCTTCTTATTTGGACCTGCGCCTCTGAACTTCTGCCCATCTACTTCTACCTAAAGCCAAGAGGTTAATTTAGAGCCAGTACTTTTCCTGGTGGGAACGACAACTCATATTTACAACCAGATCCCAGCTAGAATCATGAGTCATTTATAAAAAAAACTTCAACAACAAGTAAGTCCAGTTATGGGTGAAACTAACTTGTATTTCCTCCAGTGAGTTCAAAGCACTCCACAATCGAGAGCTAATTAAACCCAGTAGCTCCATGTGATAGGTAGTGATCACTTGAGCCACTAACCACTTCTGAAATACAGCTGATTAACAGGACAGAAGTTAGGAATCCCATATCAACTTGAAACTGAACAGGGAATTTAAAGAGGTAAAATACATTTACTTGGGATGGAATTTGGCAGGGATTAACTCGCTGGTATTTGGGAAGGTTGCCATGAAGTCTTTGGTGAGCAGAACCTTAGCTTTATATCTCACCCAAAATTATACTTTTAAATGATCCCCAAACCCCACAACATTTTTGGGGCACCTACGACCCTAATCAATCAGCTTTGCACCTCCATCATCTTCAAGAACCTGCATTATGGCTACCCTTTGGCTAAAGAGAGCTACCTTGTACTCTCTTTAGAGACCATCAATGCTGATTCTATGTCAGCCCAAGAACCTGCTGCTGCAGAGTAAAATGAGCCAGAGACTGAATGGGCTCTCTCTGTTACATCATTCCTAACTCCTGCTAGGCTGGCAACAAGAGGATCAAATCAGGGCACCCATACAGGGCTGCCAGGACCCGTCCATGACACACAGTGGGTAGTGGTTTTCGTTACTCAGCTGCCCTCTCCCCATGGCAGGGCAGGGATGTGATGTGTTTAGGGGCTTTCATAACCAAATCCTCCTTGCTGAATTACCTAGGGCAAGGAGAACATTCCCCTGCCATCTCCACAGTCATCCTGGCACTGGGAGATACAGGAACCTGAAAAGGTTACCATCCCTCTTGTGGAAGAGAACGAACAGTAAGGCTCTGGAATAACATTAAGTGGCAAATGAAAGCTACCAAGAGGACTGAAGCACGGTCAGCAAAACCACCTGCAGATTTCCGAGCACTGCTTCACTCACCTCCATTACAAAGCGCTTATCATGGCTCCCACCTGTCTCAGAGATGAGCTCATACTTAAGACCTCTTCTTTTTTCATTTAGCTCCATCACTGGGTTTTTGCCACTTGCTGTGAGGATAGGGCCCTGAGTTCTTACCTACAGAGACAAGATATATTATAACCGTAACAACTCTGAATGGCAGACACACATCTACAGCATGTCTGCCTATAACAGCTGCCCACCTGGACAGTCTGGCTGCCCACCTGGAAAACGCCAGTATTAATCATCTTCCTTTTGTGTTTCTGCAACAGCCAGTTCTTCCTGATACATCCGCCTTAGCAGGCTCTCTAGGGACGGACCGGCAACAGAGACACAGCGTTGTCAGAGCTTCAGCACAACCTGCTGCACCAGAACAGCAGATATGAAGCCCCGCCCCCAAGGAAAGCGGAGGGATGAACCATTTAAAAAATAAAATAAAATAAAATACTGCCACCCGCTCATTTTCAAGCGCAGCAGGCAGCTAGCCAGGCAGTCAGTGTCTCCATGACCAATCGCGATTACCTTCACATCGCAGCACGGAGCGTCATGCTGCTGGCTGCCCCGGGAGCCTAGACTCAAAGGGCACCCAGGCTGAAGGACAGACCGTCAAGGTGTCAAGTTTCTTGAAAGCAACTCTCTGCTACTAAACAGAAGGGGACTGGCTTTCCCAGCTCCACACATCTCTACTGCCTCATCTAACCATCCCTTTGGCACTTCCAATCTCTGACTGGGGAAACCACAGAGTGTAGGTCACACATCACAGTAGATATAGCTGATTTCAGAGTAACAGCCGTGTTAGTCTGTATTCGCAAAAAGAAAAGGAGGACTTGTGGCACCTTAGAGACTAACCGATTTATTTGAGCATGAGCTTTCGTGAGCTACAGCTCACTTCATCGGATGTAGCTGTAGCTCACGAAAGCTCATGCTCAAATAAATCGGTTAGTCTCTAAGGTGCCACAAGTCCTCCTTTTCTTTTAGTAGATATAGCTGTTATCTTGGGTTAGAAATGCAGACACAAAGAGCCAGTACACCAGCATAGCAGACTGCATTATAGTCTGCTGTGCTGGAGGCACCAAAGCAGATACTGAAAAGTGAGAAGAACATAGAAAATTAGGAGAGCCAGGCCAAGATTTTCAGAAGTGTCAAGTACCCAACTCGAGGCACCTGCCCTCTGAAAATAAGGTCCCTTTAAGGCATCTCAATTTAGGCACCCAAAATCCTGAGTCACTTTTGAAAACCTCAGCCCTTGTAAACATTTCTAACTTTTTACATGAAAAACAGTTACGATTTGCCTTTAGTTAAAAACCATCTAAATGATTCTAGTTCTTTTTAAAACAGGGTTAAAAAGGCTTATATGATTGTGATGCTGTATGGAATATGGGAGACATTTTATAATATTGTTGATACCAATATTATAAAAGTGCAATGAACCTTACTAGATATACCATGTAAGGTATCATCAGAAAAGTTATAATTCACTAGATACGGTAATCTTGTTTATATGTTTGTATTATCTTTGTGTTGTAAGTTATAGATATTTAGGGTATATCCGTATTTCCGAACTTGTGCTGTGCATCAGGGTGACATCCCCAGACAGATTGGCATCAACACTGTCCAGCCTGCTTGATGGCTCATCCAGGGACATCAACTATACACTGAACTCATTGAAAGGGTCAGGGCTACATCTTATGACTCAGCAAGGCATGCAGGGGCATGCCTATGGACAGAACTCTAAGGCACTCCAGGGGATGTGCTGGGCAGCTTGTGTTTGAAACAAAGGAAAGACAAGCCGCATGGCAAAAGACTATAAAAGGCAGCTGCATCTTCTCCATTTTTTCTTCATTCCTGCTTCTTACTTCTGGAGTAACTTTTCTACAAACTGAAGCTCTGAACAAAGGACTGAATGACCCATCCAAGCTGTGGATGTATTCCAGAGGGACTTTCAAGCCAGCAAACTCACCAACACTGCTAAGAACCTGATACAAAGACTTCAGAGTCCATGTATGTATGTAATTGTTTTATCATTTAACAACTCTTCTTGTCCTTTTTTCTTCATAGTAAACCTGTAGTTTTAGATGCCAAAGGATTGGCTGGCAGCATGGGATTTTGGGAAAGATCCAACCTAATACTGACCTGGGAATAAGAAAAGGAGGACTTGTGGCACCTTAGAGACTAACAAATTTATTTATATTTAATGCTCCAATAAATTTGTTAGTCTCTAAGGTGCCACAAGTCCTCCTTTTCTTTTTGTGGATACAGACTAACACGGCTGCTACTCTATGACCTGGCAATGTGGCTAGCCCTTTGGGGTCAGAAGAACATTTTGTATAGTGAGCAGAATTTTTAAAATAACTTCTCACCTTACTGCACCTAGGTGCTGACTGGGAGTCTGAAACTGGAATGCAATAAAGGGGCTGTGTGGTTTTTTTTTCCCCCCCCTCCTTCTTCTTCTTGGTAACCAGGGTGGGGATCAGAAGCAGTTTGTGACTGGTTGGGGAGTAGAACTTCAGTGTTACCCACAGTGTTGGGAGTATCTGCTCTCCTTTTTGCAACCTGCCCTGACCTTGGCATTTCCAGTGAGGGCTACGCTAGGCACCTTGGCTCACAATGATTATTAAGGCTATGAGTTGGTCACAGAAGTCCGGGATTTTACATGTCCTCCAAGACTTCATCACCTGGGAGGGGCACCTCGGGCTTTTGCGATTTATTGTTTATTGCCCATGACCTGTCCATGACTTTCACTAAAAATAACTGACAAAATCTCAGCCTTAGTGATTATACATAGTCTGGCTCTAAGTTTGAAGTCACATTATCTAAATTGGTTAAGTTATGAAGAAATCCACATTTCAATGTACTGAAAAGCATCTATAGAGCAGGCAGATTACTTAAATTTATATGTATAGCAAAAAAGCACTTACATTTGAAAGGAGCATTATATCTAAAAATAAGGCAAAATTCTATATCTATTTATCTGCACAACCTCCTGAGTGCATCACAAAGGTATCAGCTACAGCAATGAAAATTCAAATTAAAGCTCTCGCTTCCACGCTTAACACAAACACGCTTCTAGAATTCCTCGGGATGATTATGAAGAATGGTGGTACAAATGGAGATGGGGAAAATAGAGTCTAAGAGTATGTCTACACTGCAATAAAAGGCCCACGGCATGGCTGCGGCTGGCCAGGGACAGTGGACTTAGTTTACGGGGCTATAAAATTGCAGTGTAGACACTTGGGCCCGGGCTCATTGGGTCTCAGAGCGTGGGCTCCAGCCTGAGCCCAAATATCTACACTGAGGCCCAAGCCCCACAAGTCTGAGTCAACTGACCCGAGACTCTGCGCCCGCAGGTTTTTAATCACGGTACAGACACACCCTAAGAGAGAACTCTGAATTGCTTGGTTTGTCAGCTCATGACAACTATGTAAATATTGGAAATGGTTTAAGAAAAAATTTAATTAATAACATACTGCAGACCCCTTTCAACTGGACTCTTGGAAACATTCAGTATAGAGTGGTCAAGTTAAGGCATTTGGTCCTTCAGGGAATACTACATTTCCCACAAATTCAGTGGGAAAACAGAAGCACAATTTGCTCTTTAGAGTTCCTTAATTAAGCTACAAGTCCCAAAATTAAGCTAGCGTAACTTTAGACTGTAGCATTTTTCTAGTAAATTCATAAATACACATTTAAAGACATGATAATGCCTTTCACATTATTTAAATGCATCCCTATTCAGTTTGTTACTTTTCTGTACTTCTATCAATCTATAGGTACTTTTAATATAAAAACAGCTCCAAACAATGAATTATGTTATAAAATAGAAAAACATTACACTTGTTACTTATTTGTCTTACAAGTGTGCCAAGATTGAGGCCTCAGAGTGCTAGGTGCATAGTAAGACACTCTTACCCTGAAGAGCTCACAGTCTAAATATGACGAGAGAAAGAAAGAGAAAGAAAAAGAAAGAGAAAGAAAGAAAGAAAGATCCTCATGTTACGGCTCAGGAACAGAGGCACAGAGAGATGGAAGGGATTTGCCCATGGTCTCACTGGCAGTCTGTGGCAGAGATGGGAATTGAAACCTGATCTCTTGATTCCCAATCCAGTGCCTTAACTACACAAGACCATTGTCCTCATGGAAAGCGCTCTGTCACTGCGTTTTCCAGTGAATACCCACCTCCAAGGTAGAGGAGGTGTCAATTGTAGAATTTCCAGTATTATTGCTCGAGTTTGAAGAGACAGTCTCATTTTTGCCTTCGGTATCTGATTTTTCATCAGAGCTCATGCACTCAATATCTGCATCGAAGCCAGTTGGGTAGCCCATTGCTTGTAATACCTATACCAAACGACATTAAACAAGATGTAAAACCAGTTTGGGGTTTGGAAGTGAATGCAAGGCTGATTATACAGCAGTAAAAAGGCCACATACACTTCATGAGGTAACTCACTTTGAAGTTCATTTTTCACCCAGTTAAAAACAGCAAAAATCAAGTACTAATGGGAAAATGGGGCCCCAACCTTCCTAAGCTGCAAAATATAATTGAGAGTTTCCAGTGTCAAATGCACCAGCAGTTCATAAATACCATTTTCCAAACGGAGGCTCCCATGTATAATATGGGATTAAAATTCAACCTATAAAATACAGGAACTATATGCAAAGTAGTTTACTATTTACAACTCCAGTTAGACCACATCCACTATGTAATACTGCTTGACAGCGTGACCAAGACATTCTGTTTTGCATCTTAAGTTCCTTTGAGCTCAGCATATACAAGTTTGCAGAGCAAGGACAAAGCGTCTCATAGGAACTGAGGCACCAGGCCATCTGCAATATAGGATGCTACACATGCAGCATCAAGCCCAGATGTTAACTGTTTTCAGTTTCCAAGGTGGCAACAAATGCAGGAGTTACCGTATGCCTGGGTTTTCCCAGACAGAACCTCTTTTTTTTGAGCCTGCTTTCTTCTCTGTCCAGGTAGGGTTTTCAAACAACAGGCAACATCCTGGGTTTTTGCAGAGCAGACAAGCTGCAGCTCAGAAAGACTCCCGATGGGACCATTCCCCTGCAAGTCAGAGCTGCCGGATCCTGCTCACCCAGGCCCCAGCTCTCAGCCTTGGGGAAGTGATCCTGCAGGGAGGCGCTGACCGATGACTGTTGCAGCATCCTGGGCTGGTGCCCTGGGCACTGACTGACGGCTGGGCCCTGCTTTTGTGACAGGGAACGACGCTGCCCCCCACCTCCAGTGAGTACCCCCTGCCACAAGTACACCCTCCAGCACCCCCAACTGTATTTCCCTCCCCCTGCAGTGTTCAGGTTTTTGGGAACCTGAAATATGGTAACCCTAAGAAATGGTAACATGCAGCCTAAAGATAAAAATCTTGGCTCGAACACAGCACGGCTGGACTCTAGGACTGAAAAGGCTTCCCATCTGCAGCTGGTCCAAGAACATCAGCTGACAAACATAACCAAAGATGCACCTCCCTCTCAGTGCTGTAGGGGTGGCCTGATCTGAGGTGTGCCTGGCAGTGAATCAGTAAAGGAGACCCAGGCTAATGGAGATGTAAGGGAGTAATTGGCTATTTTATCTGGACAGGAACATGAAGTACTTCAAACCTCCTGGGCTGTCCCCAGGCTGCTTTCAATCAGCCACTTTGTAGGAGAGAAGCACAGAACCTGATTTTGTCACAGCCAAACACTTTCCCCAAGGGGTCTCCAGAAGAGAGGGGGCACTCTCCCCCATCACGCACACTGATGCGGCAGGTCAGGCAGTTCTGTGACTGACTCCCTGGTCTGCCTATGCAGATGTGTTCAGTGGGCACAAAAATGTAGGTGTGAACGGACTCTGAGGCCAAGCTGAGGCCCCCTCTGAAAGTTTGGTCTCAAAAGCAAAGCTTGCAGACATGCCTACAGATGCCAAACACTGAACATGGAACTGGAAACAGCATAAATAAATATTCCCCTCCAATCAAAGGGCCCAGGCAGCTCCAGCCCCCTTTTCCCTGCCCCAAAGGTTGGTCGGGGCAAGTACCGCAGTCACAGACAGCTCCATTCCTCCCCGCCCCGTTCGGGGGTGCAACACCATCACTTGCCTGTCAAAGACAGCTACAGATTTAGAGCTTTAAGTATATAAACAGTGAACCCTAAAAATGGAAACATCCTAATTTAGCCCTACAATCTCTTGGTGTGTGAGCAAGCAGGGCGTGGGCTGCCAGGGAGCAGCAATGCTGGGCTCTGCAGGGCCGGCCTGCCAGCTGGTCCTCAGCTTGAAAGAGGGTGGTTCCAAAGCATAGCTCACAGGGTGGGTGGGTAAATTTGGGGAAAATGGGGCTATGGGATGCTCCAGCCAGGAACCACAGAGGGGCCCTGCGGGAGGAGGGCAGAGATAAGATCCTGATTTTCAAGGCAGAATTCTTAATGGTATTAAGAAAAGAGAATAATTATTGAGGCAAAATGTAGGTGTAAGGACGATGGGATGGGAGGACACATACAAAGCCACATCTCCTGCAGAATGATACATTCTGTCAAATACTTTTGGGCGCTTTGAGCATGAAAGCAAAGGGACAATGGGATTTTCAAACTCCTAAATCAAAGGAAAACTGAAAGTTGCCAGATGAACCTTCTGAAAAGGAAGTTCACTCAAAATATATGAAAGGAAGCACAGATAATGACAGATGGGTTTGTTCTTGTAATTGCAGCTCTGCGCACTCAGATTCTCATTTTGTTTTTGCAGTTTGCAGACAACTTTTCCTCCCTCCTCAGCAATGCACACAGGGAATGTCTGGTACAGCAGACCCTAATCTATCTACGAATTTATATGGAGATGACTATGGTGGCCTTTTTTATTTACTAGACACCAACTCAAGTCTCACTGTTTTACCAACTCCAGCTTTCTCCCACGGAGCCTCTGGAAAGGGGAACAATGGGGTATGGCTCAGGCTGCCTCATACTGATAGACTATTGTGATTCACCATCCTCTATTTACTGTAGCATCTAAGATGTGCTAGGTGATTTCCAAACACTCAAGATGAGAAGGTCCCTGCTCCAAGGAGCTCACAACCCAAGGATAGGGACAGGCAGAGGTGAGGGGAATGGGAACAACGGAAGGATGAGCCATCATACTAGTAACTAGCAAGGGCAACCAAAAAAACCAAAACACAGAACCCACTCATACTCACTCACCGACCTCTAGAGGCTTGGACAGCTCAGTTCACTTTTCCCCTCTTACCTGTTCACCATGGGATCTGGACGTGCCAGAGCACTTTGAAAAGTCTCAAGATAGCAGGTTTGATCCACACTGCCTCTCCTTAGAGGGTTTGCCCATTGATAGTTCTGATCATATTCCTTCTGTGTTTTCCAGGATCTGGGGCTGGAATTATCAACTTAATTCATATTCAAGTCTCTGCCTTACCTTCACTGCCACATGGAGCTTAGCTGTTTTCTTAGAAGGTCCTGATGCTTCATAGGTCGTACCATCAACATCTACAGACATTGTGAAGACTGGGGCATGGACTGGACCCGACTGCGACAGAAGCTTATACTGAAGCCCTGGCCTGATTTGGTTCAGTCTCATCAGAGCGTTCATGAGATCGATTGCTTTACTGTCTAGGACTATTATGGGAGAGGGTGGGAAGGAAAAAAAAGATTAACAAAAGAAATGGAGAAGGGAAACATTTTGCATTTCTAAAGCACCATCCACCTGAGCAGTTAAGTGCGCTATATAAACATGAATGAATGAAGCCTCCAGCCATTCACTCCCCCAGTGGATCATGACCATTACTACTCAATCCCTTTAGACCATTCCCCTGCATGTTCTTCCTGGCTGCTACAACTTGATATGGAATTTCATAGGTCATACGGTACTGTGAGTGCTACCTGCAGCCGGATTCCACATGAAACTAGGCACCAGGAGCGATTTGTTCACAATAATCCAGAAAAAACTCCTGGTTTGTATATACAATACAGGTGATCTGTCAATGGAATCAGCACCTATCTCCTGTCCCAAATGTGGGATGTGAACAATCAGTTCTACATATTTGAGGTCTTGGTCTGAGGCTGTTTGAGAGACAACTGCCAGACATTACAAATAAAATACCCGAATTCTTTGGACAACCTAAGTTTTAACATCACCTGCTGGAGTAACCTCATCAGTGACGTGAGTCAGTCAGTCAGTCAAATGTGTGCAAAGAAATTGAAACCCACCTTTAAGCAGAGGAGTTTGAAGTTCTGAGCACAGTGGGATTGAGAACACACACTTCATTCCACAATTTCACATGCCGTTCCACACAAACACCAAGAAGTTTTTGTCTCAGCTCCTACTATAACCAACAATGGCTCCTTGAAGTCAGAACAGATAAAAGCTGCACTTACTTTTCCTCAAGTTGCGCTTCATCTTTTTATTTGGATCTTTATCATCCCCTAATCCATCTTCAAATGGCCTTTTCAGAGCAGAGGAGCCAGCACCTAAAAGACAGTTCTCCTTGTAATATGGATTTGATAGCGGAAAACAAGGCAACAATCCCATAGCACCTGTCTGATTAGTCCCATTACTTTCTGCTTTGACATTAACCTTATAATAAATACAGACCCTGACAGGTGATTGTTAAAGAATTTATATTTCTACATAGAAGAAAGCGTTAGCTTATAACTGGCGGCAGAAGGTCATGTGGGGAGTCTTTAAGTTTCCACTGTTGCCTGCAGAGGTCCACAGTACTGAACTTGGCAACATTAGCCAATCAAATCACATTCAAACCTCCACTTCCTTACCAGTTCAAATATCAATAGTAAGGCCTATAGATAGTGTTACATTTATTCTAATCGTCATCGCAAATATCTGGAAATCTCTGCAAGAGATTTCTTAAGTCCAACAGTTGAAGTTTTATTTTAAAAGCCAACATTCTTTAGGGGAGCTGAAGTCAGAGATCCAGGAAAAGCAAAATCCAACACTGACTTTGTATTTCAGCAAACTTCAAAAGTTTCTGTAATTGGAGGCAGCTTTGGTTCAGTAAATAAATCTTAACACTCAGTGCCAGAGAAATCACTGTCTCTTTAGTATTGTATTTCATTTACATTATTTTATATCTCAAATGTGCCTGCCCACCAGACTGTAGGGCTGCTAACATTTTAGATATCAACAGTAGCGGGACCAAAAAACAAACAAACAAAACAAACCTGTCTTCCTCATTCAATCTCATTGTGTTTTTATAGATAAGCTACCTCCAGCTGAAATACACAACAGATCTATCAGAATACAGTATGTCAATACTTCTCCTGAGCTCAGCATCCATCAGATAGGGAAAAAAAGCATCTCTACCTCCATCATTTGCCATAATAGAAATAAAGTCCCTGTAATAGTGTCACTGGATCAATGTTCTCATTTTAAAAATAAATGGCTAGAACTGGCCTCACCATTATCAAGTGACACAAAACTATTATTTCTGTGACAGTGCTCCAACTCCAAAGACATGAGCTCTCAATTATAAAATGGCCTGGATTGAGCAAATGGTCTAACAGAATGCATTAATCAGATCCAACTAAAGGAACTATGCTAACATAACCAGTGAAACTGAAATGCCAAAGAGAGTGGAAAAGGGGAATAATTTTTAAAAATGCTTTAGAATTAATCTTTCATGTGGACTTTAGCAACTTTATGACAGGGAGCAAGTCCTTTGGCTTGTTCCACTCACCTTGATCCGAACTGCCTGTTCTAAAATCTCTGATATCTAAACCTCTACAGCAGTGTTCTTCAGTTAGCAGCATATTGGCCACATCTGGCCCACAAGTCGTTCTGGTTATCCTGCTCGTTGTCAGCTGTTCCATCCTGCTCCCTGCTAGGGGCTCCACTCTAAGCCCTGGTCTACACTAGGACTTTAGGTCGAATTTAGCAGCGTTAAATCGATTTAAACCTGCACCCATCCACACAATGAAGCCCTTTATTTCGACTTAAAGGGCTCTTAAAATCCATTTCCTTACTCCACCCCTGACAAGTGGATTAGCGCTTAAATCGACGTTGCCGGCTCGAATTTGGGGTACTGTGGACACAATTCGATGGTATTGGCCTCCGGGAGCTATCCCAGAGTGCTCCATTGTGACCGCTCTGGACAGCACTCTCAACTCAGATGCACTGGCCAGGTAGACAGGAAAAGAACCGCGAACTTTTGAATCTCATTTCCTGTTTGGCCAGCGTGGCAAGCTGCAGGTGACCATGCAGAGCTCATCAGCACAGGTGACCATGATGGAGTCCCAGAATCGCAAAAGAGCTCCAGCATGGACCGAACGGGAGGTACGGGATCTGATCGCTGTTTGGGGAGAGGAATCCGTGCTATCAGAACTCCGTTCCAGTTTTCGAAATGCCAAAACCTTTCTGAAAATCTCCCAGGGCATGAAGGACAGAGGCCATAACAGGGACCCGAAGCAGTGCCGCGTGAAACTGAAGGAGCTGAGGCAAGCCTACCAGAAAACCAGAGAGGCGAACAGCCGCTCTGGGTCAGAGCCCCAAACATGCCGCTTCTATGATGAGCTGCATGCCATTTTAGGGGGTTCAGCCACCACTACCCCAGCCGTGTTGTTTGACTCCTTCAATGGAGATGGAGGCAATACGGAAGTAGGTTTTGGGGACGAAGAAGATGAGGAGGAGGAGGAGGAGGTTGTAGATAGCTCACAGCAAGCAAGCGGAGAAACCGGTTTTCCCGACAGCCAGGAACTGTTTCTCACCCTAGACCTGGAGCCAGTACCCCCCGAACCCACCCAAGGCTGCCTCCTGGACTCAGCAGGCAGAGAAGGGACCTCTGGTGAGCGTACCTTTTAAAATGCTATACATGGTTTAAAAGCAAGCATGTGAAAGGATTACTTTGCCCTGGCATTTGTGGTTCTGCCTTTGCAAAAGGTTTCTGGGGAGGGCAGCCTTATTTCGTCCTTTATGGTAGGACACTTTACCACTCCAGGCCAGTAACACGTACTCGGGAATCACTGTAGAACAAAGCATTGCAGTGTATGTTTGCTGGCATTCAACCAAAATCCGTTCACGCGGTGGGAGGAGGCAAAATGCGACCTTGTAACGAAAGCACATGTGCTATGTATGTAATGTTAACAGCAAGGTTTACCCTGAAAGAGTGTAGCGACTGTTTTATAAAATGTGTCTTTTTAAATACCGCTGTCCCTTTTTTTTTCTCCACCAGCTGCATGTGTTTCAATGATCACAGGATCTTCTCCTTCCCAGAGGCTAGTGAAGCTTAGAAAGAAAAAAAAACGCACTCGCGATGAAATGTTCTCCGAGCTCATGCTGTCCTCCCACACTGACAGAGCACAGACGAATGCGTGGAGGCAAATAATGTCAGAGTGCAGGAAAGCACAAAATGACCGGGAGGAGAGGTGGAGGGCTGAAGAGAGTAAGTGGCGGGCTGAAGAGAGTAAGTGGCAGGCTGAAGACAGGGCTGAAGCTCAAATGTGGCGGCAGCGTGATGAGAGGAGGCAGGATTCAATGCTGAGGCTGCTGCAGGACCAAACCAGTATGCTCCAGTGTATGGTTGAGCTGCAGCAAAGGCAGCTGGAGCACAGACTGCCACTGCAGCCCCTCTGTAACCAACCGCCCTCCTCCCCAAGTTCCATAGCCTCCACACCCAGACGCCCAAGAATGCGGTGGGGGGGCCTCCGGCCAACCAGCCACTCCACCACAGAGGATTGCCCAAAAAAAAGAAGGCTGTCATTCAATAAATTTTAAAGTTGTAAACTTTTAAAGTGCTGTGCTTAAAGTGCTGTGTGGCATTTTCCTTCCCTCCTCCACCACCCCTCCTGGGATACCTTGGTAGTCATCCCCCTATTTGTGTGATGAATGAATAACGAATGCATGACTGTGAAGCAGCAATGACTTTATTGGCTCTGCAAGCAATGATTAAAGGGAGGAGGGGAGGGTGGTTAGCTTACAGGGAAGTAGAGTGAACCAAGGGGCGGGGGGTTCATCAAGGAGAAACAAACAGAACTTTCACACCGTAGCCTGGCCAGTCATGAAACTGGTTTTCAAAGCTTCTCTGATGCGTACCGCGCCCTCCTGTGCTCTTCTAACCGCCCTGGTGTCTGGCTGCGCGTAACCAGCAGCTAGGCGATTTGCCTCAACCTCCCACCCCGCCATAAACGTCTCCCCCTTACTCTCACAGATATTGTGGAGCACACAGCAAGCAGTAATAACAGTGGGAATATTGGTTTCGCTGAGGTCTAAGCGAGTCAGTAAACTGCGCCAGCGCGCCTTTAAACGTCCAAATGCACATTCTACCACCATTCTGCACTTGCTCAGCCTATAGTTGAACAGCTTCTGACCACTGTCCAGGCTGCCTGTGTATGGCTTCATGAGCCACGGCATTAAGGGGTAGGCTGGGTCCCCAAGGATACATATAGGCATTTCAACATCCCCAACAGTTATTTTCTGGTCTGGGAATAAAGTCCCTTCCTGCAGCTTTTGAAACAGACCAGAGTTCCTGAAGATGCGAGCATCATGCACCTTTCCCGGCCATCCCACGTTGATGTTGGTGAAACGTCCCTTGTGATCCACCAGAGCTTGCAGCACTATCGAAAAGTACCCCTTGCGGTTTATGTACTCGGCGGCTTGGTGCTCCGGTGCCAATATAGGGATATGGGTTCCGTCTATAGCCCCACCACAGTTAGGGAATCCCATTGCAACAAAGCCATCCACTATGACCTGCACATTTCCCAGGGTCACTACCCTTGATATCAGCAGATCTTTGATTGCGTGGGCTACTTGCATCACAGCAGCCCCCACAGTAGATTTGCCCACTCCAAATTGATTCCCAACTGACCGGTAGCTGTCTGGCGTTGCAAGCTTCCACAGGGCTATCGCCACTCGCTTCTCAACTGTGAGGGCTGCTCTCATCTTGGTATTCATGCGCTTCAGGGCAGGGGAAAGCAAGTCACAAAGTTCCATGAAAGTGCCCCTACGCATGCGAAAGTTTCGCAGCCACTGGGAATCGTCCCAGACCTGCAACACTATGCGGTCCCACCAGTCTGTGCTTGTTTCCCGAGCCCAGAATCGGCGTTCCACAGCATGAACCTGCCCCATTAGCACCATGATGCATGCATTGTCAGGGCCCATGCTTTCAGAGAAATCTGTGTCCATGTCCTGATCACTCACGGGACCGCGCTGACGTCGCCTCCTCGCCCGGTATCGCGTTGCCATGTTCTGGTGCTGCATATACTGCTGAATAATGCTGTGGTGGTTAATGTGCTCCTAATTGCCAAAGTGAGCTGAGCGGGCTCCATGCTTGCCGTGGTATGGCATCTGCACAGGTAACTCAGGAAAAAAGGCGCGAAATGATTGTCTGCCCTTGCTTTCACGGGGGGGGGGGAGGGAGGGAACGGGGGGCTGACGATATGTACCCAGAACCAACCGCGACAATGTTTTAGCCCCATCAGGCATTGGGATCTCAACCCAGAATTCCAATGGGCAGTGGAGACTGCGGGATAGCTACCCACAGTGCAACGCTCCGGAAGTCGACGCTTGCCTCGGTACTGTGGAAGCGCTCCGCCGAGTTAATGCACTTAATGCACTTAGAGCATTTTCTGTGGGGACACACACACTCGAATATATAAAACCGATTTCTAAAAAAACGACTTCTATAAATTCGACTTAATTTCGTAGTGTAGACATACCCTAAGGGCAGTCCCACTACCTGGCTCCTGGGCTCCAGCCCCTGGGCTCCCCTGCCAGAAGATCCCTTTCCCTCTCTGGCTACACAGCATCCTCCACACCAGCAGGTGCCAGCCCAGGGGAGAGGCAGGTCAGCATGGGGACACTGCAGTTGGGATCAGGTAGGGAGAACTGGAGCCAGGTAGTAGGCCATCCCTACAGCAGGGTCCCCATCTGGGAGCAAGAGGCAGGGATGGGACAGGCTCGGGGGCGGGGTCACTCCTTGCTCCCCAGGTTTCTCCCAGCTCCCCCACAGCCCCCCCTTTTTCCCAGCTCCCTGCACTCAAGTAGCATTAAGGAGGCTCCTGTCTTCGGCAGCTACTCCCTTCTCCCTACCCTGGGGGAAACACTACTCATTCAGAGACTCAGGATTTTTGGTGAGCTGAAATTTGGATGAACAGATTTTACTTGTAAAATGGCATGATTGTAAAGGGAAAATGAACTGCCCTTAATTGGACTAGCACCCTGTGTGCCATTCAAAAAAATCAGCCAACATGCCATCTTCAGCGCACGCACCACAGGCTGCTAACCCCTTCCAGCCAGGCAAAGAATTGGCATGCTTTCACTAGAGAGCAAACACTGGAAGAGCCCTCCGAGGTTTGAGCAATGCCTGATTTGGCCTCCCAGAAAACCGAATTGAACATCACTGCACCATTTTAATTCTGGTTAGAAAATATCCTTAACATTCATTTCAGGGTCTAAGAGTGGGTGAGACAGATGGAGCTACGAGGACTGCCTGATGTATTGTTTGGATATTTGGACCACCACTGGTTCAGACTATGGAAATCTACTTTTTTTTTAAAAAAAATAATATAGTTCAAGATAAAAACTGTAACAATACTGTGCTTAGAGATAGTTTTTTAGGACAATTTTATTTTACTTTACCATTTTCTCTAAGGAATTCTTTGCAGTGAATCTGAGCAAGGACACTGACCTAATATTGCTCATTTTGGCTTGTCTAAAGGTTCTTGCTCCCCTAGCATAAGAGACATGCATTATTTTCACTCCCCAGGCCGCAAGGAGGACATACATCAGAAGAAAACCACATGCTACACTGCAGCGGTTATATTTTCCATGTTCTTTTGTAAGTTCTATTATTTAGTGACTAGAGACCGCGGAAAGATTTTCCTCTAATATTATAACCATTTTTTTTTTAAAAAAGAAACGTTCTTCTGACACACACAGCACATAACCCAGAATTTCACCAAGCTATGTTCCAAAGACTCAGTTTAGCACCCAGGTTACATCCGGTTTGTGTTTTTAACAACATTTCCCCAAGAGACAGTCTGGACTCACCTTCTTTGTCAGTAACTGACCAGGAATATTTCTGAAAGGATTTATTTGATGGGAGAGGGTCCATTTCAAGCACCTTATAGATCTGACCAAAGGCTGATAGCCTGAGCGCGTGCTAGGGAAAAGCAGAAACGAGACACATCACTGCAATGCTCTGCCCAGGTGTCTGAACTTCTGATTAAAACTCTAGACACAGGATCAACATCTCTCCTATGAGGAAGGACTCAAATCTCTATGGAAAGGGTTAATTAGAGAGAGATAATAGAAACAGCCACTTCTGGGATACACTGTATGAAATTCACCCCTGTTCAGAGCACCAGCACAGGACCTATGCGTCACAGGTACTTAAAGTGGGACCTACACGAAGCACAGGCTTTCAGCTGGCCTTCTCAAGGAGATTTCATTCATAACAGAACTCCTATATTCTCAAAACCTTTATTTAATCCCTCCCGTGCAGGGCATGAGAACAGCTGCCATGATTCTACTGCAAGAAAGAAGCCATCCTGAGCAAAGGGGTAAACTGAATGCTGTAAATCAGACGTTCTTCAGCAGAAATGACACTTAGGTTCCTGGAAGCAGAGGTTTTCTACCTGAGCACTGTGTGTAATGGCTTCTTTTTGCTGCACGGTCATATAGGACAAAGCATCTGTTGGCTCCCGCTCACAGGGATCATGCAGGCCAGGGCCACCTACAAGGGGGGAAAACAGACAGTTCAGAACATGTCAGAAACACCAACCAAATGACTGCTGGAGTCAAATGGAAGTCACAAGAGCTAAATTCTACTCTCCGATGAGTGTGCAGAGCCCCCATCTATCTCAATGGGGACTGAAACAGCCTTAGAAACAAGCAAATCCTAAGGTTTTACCCCCTAAATGAGAAGGGCCGTTTAAATTGTTGTTGTCAACACTGCACACATAAGACAGAGGCACCAACGGCTAAGAATTTGGCAGTGGCGTTTTAAAACCTGGGAGAACTACTGATTTCAAAACACTCATATATACTAGCTGAGCGCCTGGCCCATAGTCTTCTCTCTAACTCCCCGATAGTCATTCTAATGTCAACACTCCACCCCCAGCAGACACTAACATCATTAGTGCCACAGCACAGGAACGTCACAACTATTAATAGGGACAATATATTTTTACGTTAATCATGGAGCTTCTCAGTGTCTTGCAAACAATCCACATGCTAAGCCTCCTGCTTGCTGCTCCTGAGAATAGGCATTTTAAAACATGCAGGAATTGAAAACATGTACATTTCAAAACGGAGGCATGATCCATCTTTGGTGTGTCTGAATTTATTGTGGGCCCTTACCAGGAAGCAGAATTCCAGACGCCAAACACTCCATCACTCGTCTTAAGGCCTCCCCAGCGCCCAAGGGTCTATTACAAGTACCTATAGATTTTTCACATATAAGCTCTAGTGGCTAAAAGACATTAAATTAGAATTAGTACAGGTGCTGGAGCGTGGCGGCAGTTAAACACGAGACGTCATTTCAAATGGGGATGAGGCGCTGCTCCTAGTGACCCCGGGGCGTTTGTTCACCTGGGGATTTCTGCAGTGTGCAGCTTTTCCCAGCAGGAGGGTCCCACCAACTCCACTGCGTCAGCTTACCCGGAGCTCACATTTCCAAGGTTACACCTGCGCCAGCCATGGCGGCGAGAGGCTTTTAAAAGTGTCAGATTTCTATGGCAAGGGGTGGATTCCGCAGCACACACGAGGCCCTGCTGACACCGTCCATCACCATGGTTTCCAGGCACCACACAGAGTTACTGAAATGGACACACGCTGCCCCTCTCCCTCCTCAGCTCCACAGGCAATTTTTTAAACCAAAGATTGTTTTAATGGGTGTGATGAGGGAAAGGGAAGCAGGGAGCTGAGTTCCACATGCCCACCCTATAGCCCTCATAAGACACCGCGGCCATTTACTGAAGGGCTGACTTTTCAAACCTAGTCGCTATCTGACTCTTGTTCCACACTTACCCATCCTTTTAGCGGTGCCCACGTGGGGACTCTGTTGCACAAATCACGGAGAATACGTAGAACAATTACACATGATTTTAGTCCATTTGCCCTGGCCTAAAACAAACAAAATGGTTCCAATACACCTGCTGAAATCCAGCCTTCAATTTTGCTTTTTAAAATGTACAGAGTCCTGGCATAGGTTCTTTAACATGATTACTAATTAGCACTTAATCGGTTTCATGCAAAACAAATGAAGTTACATAAAAGCAAAATACTGCATTTTATAGGAAGGCAGGCTTAACAGTAAAAAAGAAGCATAATGTTAAAATTGCTTTTGTAGCCTCATGACAACTCTAGACCAGTTGGCTAGCTACCTAGTGTTGCCGCTTTTACAGAACAGCGCTCAGAATTCAAAATTCTAGAGGGGCTAGATAGAAATTAAAAAAGGCATTAAACTTAGAAGTGTCTCAAATTAACCCTCATAAGGCTACAACAACAACAAGATAAGAACAAATAGCCAACCTGAAACCATTTGGCGTGCCGCAGAGAGGCCAAGGCCTCCAGGCATTTCTGCCTGTCCAATAAGTCCGGAGGATCTTTCATCGCAACATTGTCTACTGGTAAAATGGGATAAAAAGAGACAGATACAATTTGACCAAGGGGTTTCTGTCACAGTACATAACGATCGGCAGCATCTCAATGAGCTAATAAGACTCCCAGAAAAAAATTAATTTTTTTTAAGTGCACGGTGTTATTTAATTCAAACAAGCCATTAAAAAGGTAGTAACTGTGCACATGTGCAACAGAAGCAAAAGGCATTCACTTCTTATACAGAATCGATGGCCACTCTACAGACAATCTGGGATCTTATTAAAAATGTAGAACACATTTCAGGGCAGAAAATAGCTATGTAGCACTTTTCCTTCTTTCGTTCCTCCCTCCCGTTTGTGGTTTTATTCCAGGTGCATAAAATCAGCACAGAATTACTAACTGACAGCAACCTTCTCAACAAGGGGAACATTTTCTTGAAGGAGAAAGTTTGCCTCAGAGGCAGGAAGCATTAAGGAATGATTTTGAGGTGCCTTCTGAAAATTTGAAGATACTTCCAGTTTATCTTTATCAAAGCCACAGCAATTAACAGTGGAGAAGTGTATTTCTCTTCAATATTAACCCAATATAAATGAATTGGAGAAAAAAAGAACTTGTGTTAATGTGCACTTTACATTTTGATACACAAGTTCTTGCACTCCGACTGTAGTGTTGTGTGTAACCAGGTAACAAATGAAAGCAGCAAAGAAGTTGTAAAACTTCTAGATCCTGTTAACAATTTCAAGATTTTTTCTTTCATAAAAATCTTCTCTTCCCAACAGCAACAGAAGTTGTCTAACTAAACTAAAGTAGGAGTTGACACACAAAAGACTGAAATCTTCTGTTAAGTTTTACACTCCCCCCCACCTTTTTAAATCCAACATGCTACCAAGTGCTTCTAGCAATCACATCTAGTTCTATAAGAAATTATTTTTCTCGTTTTTTAAAGGAACAAATTATTAAAACCCTGATTCTGTAAACTCATAAACCCCATGCCTAACTTCATTCATGTGATTATACTACCTCATGAGTAGAATTACACACATCTAAGTATCTCTGCAGGATCAAGGGCTAACTTCCTTAGTCAATAGCATTTAGCTGACATATGAGCACATACTGGGAACTAAACCAACCCACAGTTCAAAATGACCCTTTGAATAAATACATGCTGTTCTTAGGAATCTATTCTATTGCTTCTCTTGAAATTGGCAGTAATGTAGAAAAATACTGTTTTTCATAATTCATAACAGCTAATTCATGTGCATTTGTACAGAGATAGCCGTTTGGGGCTGACTGAAATACAGAACCCAAACCAGCTTGTAGATGCATGCCAGGTCAGTATCTCGCAAAACATTAAATTTTACTTAGGAGAAGCAGGGGAAAAATTTATACCACTGTATACACTGCATACCCACCCACACCCCTACAGCTAATATTCCAGCTGCCATTTGTTTTTACAGGTTACGCTGCATGGTATTACTATTTTAATATTAAAATGGCCTCATTTCCTATGCAGTTGGCTAGGGAGACTGCTCTAGCAAAGCTGTAGCCATTACATCATGATGGATAAAAGGTAATGAAAAACAAGAGTGTAAAGCTCAACAGAAACAGAGACATCTTGTCTGATAGCTTGTGGGTTTAGTTTGTATCTGTTGGCTCTGCTCCCAGCGAAGGACTGAAGTGCGATATGCTTATTTTCTGACCCTGATGAACTTCGCAGCAGATATTTGCATTGTTTCTTGTTACCCTCATCAACATAATCGCATTGCTAAGATTCATCTCCACTCCTGTCCTCCCAATCAGAGCTGCAAAGTCTTCTACGGGATTAGCAGGTATTTGTTTACAAGCACAAAAGGTCACTTTGCATCATGACTTTGGAATTTAAGACTTTTACTTTCAAATTTCCTCTGCATCTTCGTTTACAAGAAGAAAATTGTGTTTTATGGATATGAAAGTGCAACATTTGTTACAAATCTTTAAATGTTTCTGTAACAAAACCCTTTACTGTGGACAATATAAACATCTGCTTAAAGCTTAAAACAGCTACTGTCAATGAGTGATTAGAATCTTCTTTAAAAATTAGAAATGGCAAAGGTTGACTGACTGCAAAATTTGTTCAATTTTAGTAATTACGGTGAATTTGCAAGTCCATTAAGTCCTATTTCTAACTAAGATTGTACAACATTTTGCTAGAGTATGTTACAACTGTTGATGAAACAAACTAAATTTTACCACTAACTTATAAACCAGAACATGGTGTATTCTCTATTACTGTACAGGTGACTAAACAGGCTTCAGTGTAACTCAGCATAAATACAACAAACAGCCTACTTTTGCAGTGGCATGCTGACGCTCATTAGAGATTATTTAAAGAGGCCAGAGTCACGGATGCCTTTGAAAATAGTGCATTCATTACATTAACCCTTGAGTTTCCAGGGCAGCTTTTGCAGAAGTTGCAGGCAGTCAACATTTGGTGCAAGATTCTGTTAAACAGAAAGATGGAGAGAACAGGCAGTGAAGAGGGGTGAGCAACTTGCAGCAGACTCCCTTTTGACATCCTCATTAGAATGGCATGTTTCTTCATGCTCTGCTAGTCAGGAAAGTGAGACCCAATCAAAGTTTTCAACATGTATGAGGAGCTTTCTTCTTTTCCTTTTTTAGTTCTAAAAAATGACACTCAGCACTGAGGAGTTTGTTAAAAAAAACAAACAAAACAGCCATTAATTCAGAGCCTGCAACACATACAGAACGAGTCCTTCGATAATCTCCCCTGCCAACATTGTTAGTGTATAGCTACCATGGCTACTTTCTGGAGAGGAGGCAAATCTGTGGCTTGCGCTGCAGGTCCTTCAAGGGCACTTGTGGACTCTCTGCCCACCGAGGTCCTGGGTGTCAGACTGATTATGAAGCAGTTGCTCAGTTACTGAACTCAGTTGTTTTCAGCACCATCTTATTTGGGTGGCTGAAGTTACTTCTTATTTTGAACTTCTTATTTTGAATGTACATGTTCAGTAACTGCAACTATTTGCAGAGTGGCACTGAGAAAGCCTAATTCACAGAGATCCTGTTCTTTGGTGGACACGAGTGATATTAAAACCTTGCCGAGGCCATAAATTTCATTCTGACGCAGAATGCACCAGATTCAAACGTTTGACCTCTCCACTAACAAGGAGAAAACAGAGCTTGTACAATGGCTGCAAGGGGATGGCTTGGAAGGAATACTGAAATGCACACGCACTGGTCTAGTATTTGTTTTTACTACCGAGCAGCAAAAACAAATAGGACACCCACCAGATTTTAAGCATTAACACTTCTCCAAAAAAAGAGGGGGGGAGACTAAAGAGAAACCCAGGAATGTTTGTTCTCTGCATTCTGACATCAGGGCATGAAGGTACACACGACATTCCTACAGAACAAATGGAAGCACTGATAAAGAATTCCATTGCACCTAATCTTGCTTATTTGGTTAGAGGATAGATTAGTGACTGTAATCAAACCATACTGCTGGAAATCTTGGTCAGTTTCGCCCAGCCTCTTAGCATACTAGTAGTCTGCTGCCAACTAAGGAACAAAGAGAAAAGCAGCAGCCGGAATAGAATGGCTCATCTTACTAGCAAGATGAAAAGCAAATTATGAAGAACTTGAAAAGCTTTTCTATCAGAAAAAAGTAAATAAGAAAAGCGAGGAATAGTTTTTAAAATGGCATATGAAATACACCTGTATTTGGCTGGCTTTGTCCAGGAGCATCAAAAGAAGGGTTGCAATATTTTCCCTTTATATTAATTTTTTTTTCCTGAATAGCTTTTCTAAATATTTCCCCTTGATATTAGATTTGAAACTTTATTCACTTAGTAAATCCAAAATGGCTCAAAGTGACTAGAAGTGGTTGTAGATAGCTGAAAAATTTTCACTTTTCCCCCTCTAGCTGGTTACTTAATACAATAAGAAAAAATGATTAACTTATGAAGGGGAATATTACAAGTTTTCTTTGTTCAGATAAACTAGGGAGTGAACGTCACAGAAACTGAAGCCAACTACAAAAGAATCTGGACTTCAGAACCAGGTGTGTTAACCAGTCTATCATCATCAGTTTTATGGTAAGGGTGGATCTAACAACAGCTCTATCACAAATTTGCAGAGACTATCTTTATACTTAAAAGTTGAACTGCAAGGTTTTTGAACAAAATTTTGAAAAATATTTTAAGATCCTAAATCAGTAACAAAACGACAAATATAGTAAAACAAGAAAGCATGAAAATTCATGTCCTCATTCATCTTAGCAGACAAGTCCCAAATTAATGAAGTCCAGGTTTCTATTCCAGCAGATGAAGGCACCATCCTTTCCTGTAAGGGATCACACAGGAAGAAACATTTGTGCAAAAGTGCATGCACATAGTGATGTTAAAAATACCTTGCCATAAATTTTTACGGTCTCACGAGCGTGTATCTGTTGCAATGGAAACAAACCTCAACTCAGCACTTGCCAGGAAGTTGAAGAAAAAGTGCAGCAGTCTGCAAATATCTGGCTTTTGTTTTAAAGAAAAACAATTGTGTTTCTGCACAAGAGCCCCATTAGTGATTTGGTAATTCTGGGACATTTTTATTAATGAATCTTTGCTATTCATTTCTACTGCAAGATTCTTGCACTTCCAACTGCTGTCTAAGTTCTGTATTTCACTTGAAAATCAATCCTTCCTGCCCTCTCCCCACAAAATGAAGAGAAACTGACCAACATTTCTCAGTGTATTGGTATTTCATGTGGGAAGGGAAATAAGCAAAGGGACTTGTGGCAGGTCTAGAAATGGGAAAAGAGCAATAGGGAGTTCCCTAGCCCACATGGGCCCAGCTGCCTCAGGTGTCATGACAGAGAGTGGCCAGTTGGTCAAAGGTCTGACATCATCCAGTGGAAAGTTCTAAGCATAGGTTTGGGAAGCGGAAGCAGAAATTATTGACAAGAAGATTACAATAAAATAAAACACGGCTACATTCGCTCTGTGTTACTCTTGGTTTCTTTCCAGTCTCGTAGGTGTTAAGAGTCAACGCTTCTTAAGAGTTTCTTGTGGCCAAGTTGCAAGTCCCCAGCAGAGAGGGAAGAATGGATGGGGAGGAATTAGGATGCATAATTTTCCAAATATATTTTTACATTCAGGACAGTAGGTACAACATTAACTTCAGAAGTGAAGTGCAGTATTTTAGCTTTAACTTCAACTGTATCCTAGTTAAGAAGTTCTTACCTTAAAGACAGAAATACACATACACAACAATAATTAGCAAAATCTGTGTGCCAGGAAGAGACACAGCTTTGTAGGAACTGCATTTTAAGAGAGCAGTTTTTATACAATAGGAATAATTTTATGAACCAGTCCAATTTGACTGATTTAATTTAAAAACAGGACTGTGCAGGCACTGCTTAATTATTAATAACTAGTTCTGCTTTCTTTCAGATAAGATCTAATTGGTGTCTGAGTCAAGGCTATAATAATGCTGTCTGTGCACAGCAAATGGAATTTTACATACATTTATGTGAAAATTAAATGGTTGCTGACTGTTTAAAGAACAATCACTGTAACCTATCAAGGTGAGCCACGCTAATGATGACACACAGTATACAATAAAAATGAGACCTCACTCCCTAACGAACCCTATGCTACACGGTCAGAAAGCATTTAGGAGAAAACTCTGAGGGAAGCAGAAAAACGACTCTCTCTATATACCTCCGTCCTTCTTCTCCGTTTCCTCACGAATGAGAGGGGATGTAAGTATCACCTTCAGTGTTAGGGTGGGCTCCTTTGTGTGACGAATAATAATAGCTGCCTCGTTCACACACTGCTCCACCTGGTACTTCTCTTCTGTAAGTTTCTGAAAGGCATCAAGAAACACTTTCAAAAATCCCCACTCAATCATGGTAAAGGAAGCACCTCCTAAAGAAAGATTTGCCCCTTGCAGATGACCCCTGAACTTGCAATGCTGTAATACACAGGCTCTGCCAGGCACTGTCCCTCCACCCTCAGCTAAGAGTTGATGAAGTCGTAAATAATTTTTAAAAACGCAAACAGCTGTTCACCAGAAAAATGCTAAATGGTGGCCGCATAAATGCACTACAGTGTCCCACTCACTGTGCAGACAATGATCAGTCGTCTTTTGAAGCTGCCAAAGGGTGAATTACTTGCCAGCAATTGTAGCTCTTACAGTATCTAAGTCTCAGCAGTGCTGCCTCTAAATGCAAACCCCCTGGCAGTCTACCACCATCCTGACAATTAGCAGTGGATGCAAGCGAATAAATGGCTCCAATCCTACCAGCCAATCTGCCTGGACAAGACCTCGGCACCTACATGGAGCCGCACTGGCTTCAACGGGACTCTGTAGGAGATGGGGTCCATCCACATGGACCAGTTTAGAGAACTGGAACCACAGAGAGCATGTAAGAGTTACCCTTTCTAATCACCACGTCTTTACAAATGGGGAGATAAATCTAGGGCACTTACTTCCTCCAGAAAAAACACTGTTACAGGCAGGCAACATAACCTCTCCACTACCCCACATGTCCCCACCAGGCCCCAGCTCCGGAGATGGCTGTGTCTGCAGAGTAGGCCTCCATATAACCTGAACACTTGTGTGCAAACAAATGAACAATGGAAAGTATAGCTCCCAAGAATGGTAGAAACGTGTATGCTGTATGTGGAAATAAACATGAGACAAGAAAGCAAACCAGAAAGGAGGGAGAATGAGTTTCATCACCTACTTTAGAAAGAGCTACTTGCGAGAGGTATTTGTTGGGGCACAGTCTCTAGGCAATAGCGCCCTGCCATGGGCTTCAGGCCGGACTAATTATTCAGGCCCAGGGATATGTCAAAGGAAGCTATAGCCCTGGGTTCCCTTAAAAAGAGGTGGTACTGGCTGCATCTGTTCACAGGATGCTTTTTTACACACCAAAACAAAAAGGTACAAATTAATACTAACTACATATCAAGGATTCATTGTGATCCGCGACCACTGACCGCTCAGAATGGCCTCTTGTTAAGGGTATGATTCAGGATTCCGTGACTTTACCGGACCTCCATGACTTCTTCGGTTTCAGCTGTCAGCAGCTGAAGCTGGGGCTAGAGCCAGAGCTGTGCACCCCTTCCCTGCAGCTGGAACTGAAGCCAGGGTTGTGCGTTCCCCACCCCCATGACTGTGGCCGGGGCACTGCGTTCCTCCCTCTGCCACCCCTGTACCTGCAGCTGGAACGGGGGCTGTGCGTTCCCCCACCCCCACAACTGCCTCGGTAGCTGTGGCTGGGGTCAGAGTCAGGACCATGTGCCTGCCCCTGGCGGTGGTGGGGCTCCAGCTGTCATTCCTTCTCCACCAGCCCCTGCACCACCCAGTTATTTTTAGTCAAGTCACAGACAGATTACAGGCTCCCGTGAATTTCTGTTTATTGCCCACGACCCGTTGATGACTTTTACTAAAAATAACCATGACAAACTCTGAACCTTACCTATTGTCACTTAAGAATCACAGGGGAGTTTAGACTGAAACAGAGCTGAGGGACAAAGCTTCTGTAACGGGGAAGTTCAACACACTGGAAACACACAGGGCAGAGTGAGCCAGGCTGACATGCTCAGGAGAAGGGAGATCTAAAATCCCATTTAGTTTCTGTGTTACGAGTGAGAGCAGGGAAGAGTACAGATGGGTGAATTCTCCAATAGGAAGGTTAGCTGGAGGGCGTAGCAGGACTGATGTCAAGAACAAGGACTAGGGAAGAACGCTTTGAGGATAGCCTTTCTATCCATCTGGTTAAGGTATCACAGGCTCTAGCCACTGTCCTAGATTCTAAGTACAGTCTTTGCTCTCTGTACCTTTACCGCTTGTATTTTTCTTGGTATCAAATTAATTTCAGCTTTTACCCAGTGCAGCTTTTAGCTGAATATGTCTTGCAATACTATCAATCAGAGCTGGAGGACTTACCCAAAATTAACTTACCTGAACTTGGATTGGGAGATTGTCTTTGACTGTATATAACAAGGTCTTTGTGGGTTTTTCTTTGCACATGAGAACCAGCTCCAAATCCATGTCATCCTTTATCAGCAAGCCCTTTGCAACCAAACCAATTCTCATCACACCACATAAGGTCCGACCACCTTGCTTCCTGGAAATGACACATGTCTGAAAAATTACAGTGATATTTTCACGCCTAACCCACCATCACCCCCTACTGTAGCCAAGGAACAGAGACTGATGGAAACAATTCCAGCATTTCTGCAATGCATCAGTGACAGGATCATGAAAAGCACTGACAGCTTTTCTGCAAGTAGCCAACAGGAAAATGATGGAAACTAATGTGAACATGAATGAAACGCTTCTGTAGTCACCAAATTGTGAATCAAAGGTTTGGATTAAGTTATGAAGCTCCAAGCAGTTCACTGCCTAACTGCAGGAGAAGCAGAGTGCACACGAGCCTGGTGTCAAGTTTTCAGAAGCCTAAGACCCATTTTCAAAAGTGACTTGGACTCTTACAAGCCTAAGCCCCATTGTCTTTCAATGAGACTTATGCTCCTGAGGGCCCCAGCACGCCCGACAGTGGGGGCCTATACCTCCTTTTACGTGTATTTTTTGAAGCTTGTAACTTCAAAATATTGTGCAAACCGTTTTTGTGAATCCTGCACACACTAGATACTTTAGGAAGGCTCCCCATTTCAAGCAATCTTCCCTGTAGGAGCCCTTCAAAATTTTCACCACCGAAAGCTAGAAGAATCAGAGGTTGGGGAATCAGACTTAAATGTTCTCCTGGTTTTCTCTGGAGACTCAAGAGCCACAGTAAGTGTCATAGGTTTCAAAGCAAGATAAACGACACTTCAGCTTTGAGTGCTGACAACAGACAAAAACGTAACAAGCAATTGAGCAGCCCAAGAGTGCACAAACCAGCAGGAATCCACGGGAAACAGAAGAGGAACACTCACACATCTACTGACATTCACAGGCAGGCACTCCTCAGAGATGCTTCTTGGACGCTGCAGCACTAGCTAGTGGCATATCACTGTGCTGCATACCCCATGGAAAGGGTTGTAAGCGTTGGAGTGGTGAAAACAGCCCCAGTTACAGAGGCAGCTGTGCAGTTAGAACTGACAGGATCTGATCAGACATGCTCTGAGATCCACGATCAGATAATGCACCCTGAGCCTCTCTCACATGTTTACCTTCACCTACATGGGCACAACTGGATATACTTAAAAGGGGTGGACAAAGACTGTCTCCTATTACCTAAACAGAGCAGAGACACACAGAGAGGGAAGGGAGGAGGCTGAGAGGAAAGTGACACTCTCAAGGTCACACCAGATGGTCAGTGGCAGAGCTGGGGACAGAGCTCAGGTCTCCTGACTCCCACTGCAGTGTCCCAGTCATTAGCCCATGCCACCAGGATTGTAAATCCCTTTCACTTGCTGGTTCTAGAAAATTAGCCAGATGCTGCAACATTCGGCAGTGAATCTGGCAGAGAAGCATACCGTATATACTCGTTCATAAGCTGAATATTTTTGATAAAAAAGTGACGCATCAAAGAGCGGGAGTCGGCTTATGAATGGGTCTACACCAAAATTTGATGATTTTAAACTCTATGAAATCATTGAATTGAATATCTAATACATTGTTGTTTTGTTTACCTGGAGTGTCTGCAGGCACGGAGCCCCTCAGCTCTCAGTGGTCGCGGTTTGCCGTTCCCAGCCAATGGAAGCTGCAGGAAGTGGCGCCACTTCCCGCAGCTTCCATTGGCTGGGAACGGCAAACCGCGGCCAATGGGAGCTGAGGGGCTCCATGCCTGTGAACATTCCAGGTAAACAAAACGTCCTGACCTGCCAGCAGCTTACCCTGATGGGCCGGGAGCCAAAATTTGCAAACCCCTGAAATATAGGATCGGCTTATGAAAGGGTCATACAGTTTTTACTATTTTTACCTATCCATCTAGGGGGATCGGCTTATAAACGAACGAGCTACTGAACGAGTATATACGGTAATTCTTTTTAAAATGGTTTGTGAATGGCCAACATACTATTTTGCAGAGTGTGATGGGGTTAGCTTTAATGGTTTCTTTTATTCTTGTCAACCTGAATGGGAATTTCTAAAATAATCCACCACATACTAAAAAAAAGTATTTCCACTGATGAGTTTCAAAGTTCACAGAAACATTTTTATGACTGCTAGACTTTGTTTGTTTTCACAAAGCCTAAGCTGACCGGACAGCATTCATTTAATACGAGATGACAGGGCAAACACCTGCCTTTCTCTCTGGTGTGGGAGGAACTGTTTGGTAATGTTTTGCCCAGTATGCTGAAGATGCAAACTGCACTGTAACTGTTTACAATGAATAATAATCAGGTTCCTTGTTTTCATGTAAACTTTTCCCGCTGCAATCTGCTAAATTTTGCCAAGACGTCCCAGAGGCAGCATTATGTCACAGTTTGTTAAACCCCGACTAAAGGGTGGGTTTCAGAGCTACCCCTGGATTCTTGTGCCCAGACTAGTGGAAAAGAGACCTGCTACAGCTGTGATTGCTTTCTGTAAAGGAAAGGCATTCAGGCAAGCCCAATGGTCCTGACATTCCCACATTTCCCCCCACACAGTGCTAGTGTTGGCAGCCAGCTAGTCACCATGTCAGTTTCGCTGGGGGCAGGCGGTATGAAGGAGAAATGACACCAGTCATAGCTAGAAGGGGAGATTCACGCAGCCAGCAGCCTGGATTATTCTTTGCCCTAGTTTATCACAGTTTTGTCCTGCTTTGCTGCTTGTAAGAATCCTTCCAATCACCACGTTCCCTCCTCTGCAGGAGCAGGGATGGATGTAAATTCTCCATTACTTTCAGGCCAGCAGGCAACACTCACTGATCTGTCCAAACGGCTGGCTTTGATACAAAATTCTACAGAAAGTGATCTCGACTTTTTGATTTATAAAAACCAGCTGGAGAGAGGGGGAAGGAAGAGAAATAGCCCAAACCCCTTCATGTCTCTGCTTTGACACTTGACACCTGCTATTCTCCAGCCAGCTGACTTTTTGTCAGAACATCTGTAGACAGGAGATTTATTAGAGAGAGGACCTGGGCACTTACAAAAACGCACTCTAAATTTAGAACTCAGCAAGATCATAAAACATCCTGCACACAAAATCATGAAATTGAAGTCAGGCTGTTTGATTATGCCAACAGCACTTAATACAAGCCAAGACTTTCATCAAAGCCATTTAAAAAAAAAAATTCTGCACTTATTTTATCCATGGCAGAAAGAAAAGTAAAATGCTGCCAGTAACACTTGGAAATTACTGACACAATGTGCACTGCATCCCACCTAAAGAGTCAGAGAAGTCAAGAAAGTCCACCGCTCAGCAGAAACCTGACGTTATTTATCTTCCACACAAGATGACACAGCTTAACTGCCCATCTCCAGGGAAGTAGCCTATCAATCTGCTGCTATTATTCCCTGGAGTCCACACAATCCTACGCCCTTAAACCAATTTATCAGTTAATTTATGTAAAAAAAGTCATGAAATTTAAATATTTTGCCATTTCTATTCTCTGCATACATTTTGCACCAAAAAGTGACAAGTACAAGAATGTTGAGAAGATCAGAAATGGATCTGAGAAATATGTATTAGTCAAAAAAGGGTGCTCAGAAAACAGGCAACTAAATTGCAGGCCCACTTGTGGAGAGTTTGCTTTGCCCAGAACATTATGCGCTGACCTGGACACTGGTGAATGCATCTCAGTTAGCTCACTGTAGTCTATTCATATGGTGCCCCGGTTAGCAGGGCTTCTCTTTAAAACTTCACTCTGAGTAAACAGATTTCTTCCCAGAGACCCAAAGCCCTTTAAATGTGCATAGGACAGAATCAAGCAAATCCAGACAAAGGAGAAACTTTTGACTAGTAATGTTGGTGCAGGAGGGACTTTCTACCATTTCACCATATTTGTTGGGATTTTTAAGCAGATTGTGGGAGCTCTCGCATACAGAGCTTTCCTCAACTAATATGGACCATTTCTTGTTTCTAAACTGGAGCATGTCCAGCTAGTAGGGAAAACTGAGCTTTGTTTCCCAGTTCTCTCACTCTTACACTGACACTTAAATTGAGACCTGGAAATAACTAAAGACTAAGTTACTGTTACCAGCATGATAGGGAATGGTCAGATTTAGGATTTGCCAATGCACATCAGGGTTTATTATGGCAATTTTTATGACAGACTGATAATCACTGCTTCCTTCACATTGAACCGGTAAATGAAATCTTCAGCCCAGATAAACAAATACAGCAGCACTTAAGGATACGGTCTTGCTGACTCAGAGCCAAATGTCTGCCACCTTCACCTCATAGTACCTTACTCCAGAATTAGTCCTCCTGGATTTCAATGAGCTTACTGACAGAGTAAAGTGATATTCACCACAAGGGCAGGTAGCAGAATTTGGCCATCAAAATATATTATCTAGTGTGGAGTACTAGCACTTGACCCTGTGGGCACTACCCAATATACCTTTCCACACCAATCTTAAAACCAGATCAGAACTCACAGCGCAAAACTCACCCAGTAGCAACCCACATTAATAATCCACCACTTGTAGCAAGGAAAGTTAGAGAAAAAATCCAGGAACTGGCTCTCAGACCATGTTATGTTAACGATCTAACCAGATTTTGTCTCAAGAAGGTCGTTATACTGGAGGAAGTATGGTTTGATGAGAGCACAGGACTGGAAGTCAGGTCCTGTGGGTTCTGCCACTGATTTGCTATGTGGCTTTGGATAAATCAACCTCTCTGTGCCCCAGTTCCCTCATCTCTAAACTGGCCATAATACATACCTGGCTCAGGGTGTGAAGCTCAGTTATCTGTATGGCTCTAGAGAGCCAAGAATGCCTGAGTTAGAGATCTTTAACCATAAAAACCTGAAAAGGGGCCAGTTGTTCCAGTTGTTTCCTAAATTGCTGGAGTTAAACTAGAAGAGGAAAATCTGGCACCATGTCAGGGAATAGAGAGATGTGCAGTGACAGATGTTTGATGCAGTACAGAATGACACAATGTACCGTAATGGCTCCTTTGGAGCAGTTAGCCTGTTGAACAAACAATACACATTTATAAATCCATTGTTGCCTATTAAACTGAAACAGCTCCGACGCCACTTCGATATGGTTTTGGATTTAGATTTGTGAGTTATAGGGAGATGCGTTTGTTTCTTAAATTTGTTAACTGCAAGTTTCAAACATTTTGTCTTAAAAGCGAGAACAGCCCCTGACCAGGTTCCTATTCATTACTCATTCCCTGCACTCACGCAGCGTGCTCGTATCTCAGAAGGAGTCCAGACACATCTACTTCCTGCTATGAACATTCATAACCAGCAAAGCCAAAGAACACTGTGGCCCTTATTTAGCAGGAGAGAAATCCATTCATAGTAGTACAGAGGCTCATTATGAGGCTTAACTAACTCACTTGGCATTACTTTCTGCAGCTTCCTCTTTTGCTTCCCCATCTCCCTCGATTTTCACAGACTTGTTCAATTCATCCATCCAATCGGAGACATGTTTAAGGGCACATTCAACTGTCGATACCATGTTCTGGACAGCTTCAAGTTCCTCTGGAGATGGATAAATGGTTGAATGTTTCACCATAACATGGCGGTCATCATTAGCAAAAGATCGGATAGATCTCTGTCACAGAGGTGGGAAAGAGTAGGGAAAAAAAGAACAGTTACTGGCTTATCAAGAGAAGGGCGTTATTTGAAAGGGAATCCTCCCCAATATAGACCGGGGAGTATTTTAGGATAACAAAGGTCTAGAATCACGGCAGAACGTATATCTCTTCTCTGCCTGAAGTAGAGAGACCCAGCCAATTAAATGTGAAGCACTGAAAAAAGCCAAACCGGAATAAACTGGTAGCAAAGTGCAACAGCACGTTGTGCCTGTGACTTGGCCATCAGGAATGTAGGTTGTAATGTTCTCTGTACCAACTCCCAAACTAGGGGCAGAAAAACTCGGGTCCAGAGCTAGAAAAATGCAAGGAGGAGAAATTTCTCGTCGCCTTTACTCCACAACTAGCCTTTTCACTCTCTTCTGCTATTCCCCATATTGTTTATCAGGTTCACCCAATAGCAGCTGTAAGCTCCTAAGGACAGGGACAATGCAGTCTCTTATCTGCATGAGAATACCAGTCAAGCACTGCCCTAGCTAATCCTACCTGCAATGGTTAATAAAGGTATTTTTGGGTGCTTGCCTTGCATAACTTCGCCAAGAAAGTTTCACTTTGGGGAAAAAAGCCATGGTTCTGATGAAGCATAAAGAGCCAGGGAGGCCTAGTGGGCAGGGGGATGAATGAGGCGGCAGGAAACCTGGGTTCTGTTCCTGTCTCTGCCACTGACCTGCTGTGTAACCTTGGGAAACTCACTTTCCGCCTATGCCTGGTTCCTCCTCCCTCTTTTTGTCTAAGCTTTTCTAGGCAGGGACTGTGCCCATGTCTATGTCCATGCAGCACCTTGGACAGACAGGCCCTGAGCTTGGTTGGGGGTCTCTAGTCCCCACTGAAATACAAACAGTAAATAGTAACCATGAAGGAAAGGGGCTCCTGGCTCTTCAATAAATTCACAGTGCATTCTGGAATACTCTGTCCCTTTGTTCAGACCCTCAGCAGCTGAGTGGCTCCAAGGGGTCAGCTGATCTGGTTCCAAAGAGGAAATTCAAGGGCTCCATGCACATCAAGGAAGTCATCTTGTTTTGGGGCAGGTAATCTGGAAAGAGGTGTCCTGGGGAGGAGGCTGAGAGAAGCTGCACTTTATACAGGGCTTTGACAATCTGGGAGAACAACTCTGCCTGGCAAGACATGCCAAGAGCTGCAGCTTTCCCCTTGTGCTCGGCTGGTGCAGAGGCAGCCCACCAGCCTCTCACTTTATGCGTTTAGTGCTGCCAAGCCGGAGATATTGCATCTGGGTCTGCAGCAACTACAGATCACAAGGAAAATCCTGACCAACAGGAAGGAATTCGCAAAGAGCATGAAAAATGGCTAGAAAGGAGGCTGGAAGGGAAGGGTTAAGCTTGTGGGGAAAGATTAAAATCATCAAATAGAAAAAACAAGGGGTTAAAGGATCCCAAATAAAGAAGGGCTTGTAAGGAGGGCTCATGGAGTTCCATGATGGGGATAGGTAGCACAGAGACTTGTGACCTGATTGGAGATGTCTGGTTGCCATGCCATCCAGGCGAGACATGTATGACCTGAAAAGTTAGTGAGCCAGCATGGGCAGCCACTCGTCTACCAGATGTTTCCCCTTCAGCCACATGTAACCCTGGTGCTCAAAGACCAATCTGATGCAGTGTCAGGGAACTCTTTGCTCCGTTCCCTACGAACGGGAGAGAATCAAAAATATTCCCAGTATGTGGATCACAGGGTTTTCCCCTACCGCTGGGCAGACTGGTGCACTCTTGCTAATCATTTACTTCCATAAACTGCATTTATCCTGCAGTGATGGGGAATCTTTCCCCCTCCTTCACAGCTTGTAACCATGCCTGAGCTCAGAGACAGCACGGCCTGTAATGGATCCAAGCAGTCTCATTGCTGAATCTGCATTTAGTTCTCCTATCCCACAGGCAATGTACATGTTCAGGGAGAAGTGCATTGGTTCACAGGTAAGGAGTGCTCCCCCTACGCCCTGCCCAGTACTCTCACACTAGAATTCCATTCCCGAAGGTCCCTGCTGTCGTTCACCTCAGTTACAAAACACAAAGATACAGGTAAAGGGTGCTGCAGCTCAGCAGTCAATCAGTGAGATAGATTTGTTAATTCACGTCCACCCAAAGAATGTCCCCCTCTCCCCAAATCTCCCTTCTTGTGAACACAGATTATAGAAAATACTCCAGCAGCGGCAAACTGATAAGCCTGTAACTTGTGTATTAGAAACACATGGTTACCTCACTAACGGGCAATGGCAAAATAAGTACTAAGCAAGAGAATCTGGGTCAAGAATTCATTGGATCCAGCAAGCTTCCCATTTAAAGTCCAATCTGTGCCTTGTGTTCCCTGATGTCCCCTTCCCCCCATAGCATTCTTCTCACCACAGAGGGTGAAATCTTAATTTGTGTTTGGCTGGGTTATCGTTTAATGGATTTCATTAGCAATTGTCTACTCAAATCTGAATACAGTACTTTACTGTAAATATAATGCTGTGCCTAGTCACTCCTCCCTGTCTTGCAGCAACAACATGTAGAGGACTTACAAAAAAAAATCAATAGGCTCAAATTACTCCTAACAGCTGGCTCTCAAGAATTAGTTAATTGGGCGGGTTTTTCCCCCTTCCTTGAATGCATTTTAGAAAAACTAACCATTCCAAGCCCTTCACATTTGCACAGCTTTGCAAATTCAATGCATCTCTGACTCTTGCGATTTGTAACAGATACAAGCAGGCAGATTGGAAGTGACTCCTCAATTAGTCATCAAATATGCCCGGATGGGTACTGGTTACATATGCATCATATCTATGCTATTAATAGGTGAGCACAGAGCTCTGGCTTTTAATTTTTAACATTAAAATATAGAGAGCACCAACATCTGATCTTGTGGGGAAGGGGTGGGTGGGGAGTGTCAGTGTTTGTTATGCAATCCACAGTTCAAGGTCACACACACTCACTGCAAGAGCTTGCTAATGCCAGTTTTATTAGAAAAGGTTATTTATGAGCATCCCCTTCATTTGTGTTTAATAATGCATGTCCTGCAGGCTCACAAGGCTTCATTCTCCGGTTAGAAAAAGCCCCTCAATAAATCAAAGCTCATTTGCTTTGCTTAAACCATGTGGAGACATCTTTAATGCAGTCGAGTCAGAAAATCCTTCCACTCTTGTTTTAACAGATTCCACAACGGGCTAGGGGTGGATAATAATTTTAAAGCAGCCATATTAATGAAGACAGTTACCTACCATGGTTTGCTAGAGTCTCAGCTCCGCTCCCCCTCCCCCTTCTCCTTTTCCCTCCTCCTCGGTATCTTTGCTAGGCACTGTTTTTGCCTGACAGAACCTCCTCATAAGCCTCTCAATCCCCTGCCAGCTCAAGAGTTCATACAGGCGAGATGCTCCAGGAGTCGCTTTCTGCAATACAACACCTGCAAAGAGAAAGAGAGAGAGAGAGAGAAACAACTTGAAGAGAGAAGAAACCACATGCTAATTCTGATTGCTTTTCAAAGCAGCACATTAAACCAAGCCACTGATTAAAGCAGCAGGCTTCAAAAGAAGGGGGGGAGGAAATCATCAATGCCGAACAAAAAGCAGATGTCTCTATAGAAAGTAATTTTTTTTTTAAACATGCCCACATACATGTTACCGCTTTCCTGTGCCATCCTCATCCGGGATCATCAGCCGAGAAGCAACTGGCATTCAAAAGCTCTGATACCTGGGAGTTCAGAATTCCAGGGTATTTAGTACAGTTGATATGAAGCCAGCCACAAAACTGGTGTGCCACTTTTATCCATATATCATATTCTTGGGCACTGAATTTCTTTTCATTTATTATTTGTACTTCATTGGTGCCCCAAGACCCCGATCAGGATGATGGCCCCAAGTGTGCCAGGTGCTGTACAAATATAGTAAGAAAGAGTCCCTGCCACAAACAGCTACAGGTTGAGGTTTTCAAAGCAGGACAGGGGATTTAGTCCAAATCGAATGGAAGGTGAAATTCACAGGAGAATGCACGGCTGGGTCACCTGGCGCCACTCTGAAAACTTCACCCATGACCTCTGAGCCCCCAGCTGACACTGCATCTCTGTGCTGCTTTCCACAGCACCAGACAGGCAAGCGAACCCATGGACAGCAAGCCCTGGCAGAACTGGGGAATACCAGGCATTTCTCCTCTGAACCATGTTACAACAGAACAGTTATCCCTCTCTGCACCTGAAAAAAGCCTTCGCTCGTGTCTGCTATTTGTAGTGGAATGTGATATTTCATGTCAGGGAAGACCAAAAGACAGGGAGTTTCTCTCTTTGGCGGGGGTGGGGTTGGGTGGTGGTATAAATGGAGAAATCAGTCTCCAAAAGTGCAGGGTTAGGAGCTGACAAGAAACAGCAGCCGGCTCAGAGAAGGGAAACACACAACAATCCAAGCTGGGCTCTGTTCTAGGCTATTTACATTTCCTGAAAACCCACTATACTACCCCAGCACCTAGAGTACTGGTGTCCCACTCACACACTTGAAGGCTAGGGCCTGTACACCCTCATTTTCTGTTCTGTGCATACTGGCAAAGCTAAAAAGAAAAACATTGAAATAAAAGCACAAAGCTCCTTCCCCTATCCCAGAGCAACAGGCACCGTTACTGGGGGGCACCACGATGCAACTGCAAATAGGTGCCTGGCGAGAACAGGAGGACATAGTGATGGGGCGAGTACCATGTGACAAAGGAGAGGAAATGAGCTCAGTGAGCACTATGGAACCCCCGTCCTTGCAAAGAACTCCCGTTTCCCTCTCATTCCATATACCACCATGTGAACTTTTCAGACACATTTGCAGTGGGTTGAAAGCCAGTTGGTAAAATCCTGCTGGCTGACATGTGCTCTCTTTTTCTTGTATCTTTCAATCCTGCACATCAAACAATATGTTGCATATTGTCTATGGCACAATCCTGACATTGTTAAAGGTCAAAACCTGCTTTTTCCAACGGCATAGGGACTAGAGAAGTGACTTGAAAGCATACTTTAACTACAGAGGTGTGACAAAATTATCAAAATGTTGCATCCCGTACAGATTTGCACACATCTAGAAAGGGAGCAATACATTCCACTTCACTGTGCCCCTATCTGAGAAGTGAAGCAGATTTACAGGACTAAATTGCTTTGGGAGCAATTTGTTGTCTATAAAGAGGTCTCTGCGAATTCCAGACTAATGTACTTGGGATACAGTACAGTATAACAACCAACCAACCTGCCAGTGAAAGGGTCTGGTACAGGGGCCCCCCTTATGGTTAAATATGGGGACGGGTTGAAGGAGAATATAAATAATGAAGGGGTCAGATATGGTTACAGTAAACGCTTTTTGGGGGCGAGAAGGGTTGGACGGGACAAGTTCATAGGGAGAGAGATGGATTGAGATGAGCCTCTGCCAAGAAAGGGCCCTGAAAGCCCAACAGGGACAGAGCTTGGACAATAAACACAGGTATATTTGCCTTTAGAACCAAATTAGAGTGTCCTAGTTCCATGGCAGGGCCAACAGGGAGCACCGAATAACCAGGCTAAGACTCCCTCTCCACCAATGCAGCGCCCCCATAGCACACATTCACGACCTGCTCAGCTCTTCAGCCTCAGAAAGTTCCAATCCTGCCCTCCCACTGCAGGCTGAGATGCCAAAGTTGCCATTAAAATACCAACTGGAACTGGGGTCCAAACCCTGGGGCAGCTTTTGAAGTCTCAGACTTACTTTGCACAGACCCAATCCTTGCAAATGCTCCCATACGCAGATAACTACTCGCTTGTGTAGCCCCACTGATGTCAATGATCACCTCACATGAGTAGAGTTATACACATTTAACAGGTTTCAGAGTAACAGCCATGTTAGTCTGTATTTGCAAAAAGAAAAGGAGTACTTGTGGCACCTTAGAGACTAACCAATTTATTTGAGCATAAGCTTTTGTGAGCTACAGCTCACTTCATTTAAGTGATTGCAGATTGGGACCCAAGGCAGCAAGCTCCCAGGCCTCACAAATGCCCTTGGACTTCCAGGCATTCGTACACCCCCCCTCCCCGCGGTGAACAGCTACTGAGGCCCCAGGACACTGTCCCAGGTATGGAAACAGAGCCCATTGCAGCCGGGATTCTTGTTACTTTCTGAAAACGCCAAATTGTCCCTTGGTTACCAGGAAACATGTGAGTGCCACACCCTCCACCCAACATTTTCAGCTGCACAGGGGTGTCAGTCAGGGCCCAGTCTTCGGTTTTCCGCCACTTCTCAGCATGGCAACAGTGAATCAAACATTCCTCACCAGAGCAGCCGACGGGCTTAAAAACACAGGAAGGCCTATTTCTGGATTTAGCGAATGTGTCCATCACCACAGTCTTTAGACACCAAGCTACGCTCCAGCCTGGACTCCCTTCCAGGACTGCTATAAGCTGCAGGTTATAGGTGACAACACAATGAAAACAGATGGATGGAAATGGCTGACTGAGCAAATTCTGATGCTTCACTAAATTGCTGGGCAGACAGTACTGTCTAGAGGCCAAGCCTGCAATCCACCTCTTGAGCTCCGAGAACAAATGTACCTCAGGGTGCAATTCCGCATGCACTGAGCTCTTTTCTGTATACTCTGAAAACCTGAAATAGCTTCAAAGCAAATGTTTACAGCGTGACCGGGGCTATTTTCTCTCTGCTGCACAGTGGACATGTTACGCAGCATCAACACCTTTCAATGTTATCCTTGAGAGGGGTAGAACAATGCAGCTTTTCAGAGAGGCTCCTAGTTGTATTAACAAGCAAAACAAGTCGGGCAAGAGTCACCATTAATCCAGTTCTACCTGCCCTTTTCCCCAAAAGTGAGCGATTGAGGTCTGGGGAAATGGCTGCACTGTGCTCCGATTAGGGAGGGAGTTACAGATGACAGCATCTTCATCAATATTATTCAGGAAGAAGAAGAAAAATCACCACACACAATTCTAGCTGGAGCTGTCCTACAGTGTTCTTTCAAATTATTAATTGCCCAACAATACTCCTCAGAAGTGTCCGCACAAAGGAAAACTTGATGCAGTTCAGGCCCCAGGAGAGAATGTTTAATAAAACCACTAAACAGAACGGAGCCCGCTTTCTAAAAATTCAGATGCTACTTTAAGAACAAGGTACAGAGTGGAAAATAAACAGAAGCCAAGATGAGAGCAGCCCCAGCCATCTGGATTGAGCACTGTGCTTGTTACCAGGCCCATCAGAAGGGATAAAAACGGACTGCAATCCTTCTAATCCAGCAGCTTTGTTCTGCCACTAACTCACCACAGAGCATCTATGCTAGAACCAGCCCCTACCTGAGACAGCTCCATCCGGATGGTTGGCGTGCCTACGGGGTGGCCTAGGCCCTAGAGGACATGATGGTAAAAGCTGCTTGTTCCTGGGCTACACCACAGCTAGTGCCACCGCAGCTTGCAATGAATTTTCCAGGAAAAGCCTCTAGGGTAAACAAAGCCATGAGTGACCTCAGGAAAGTCACTTACCGTCTCTGTGCCTCACTCTCCACCTGTAAAATGGGCATAATGCTTTCGCACCTCACCAGGGCCAGGAGAGGAGGATTGATGTGATTTTTTAAATCCTCAGACAGAAGGCACTAGAGCAATGTGAAGTGTTATTACACACCAGCACTAAACGAGGTAACTCACGGTCTCTCTAAACTGTCTCCACAGCAGGTCTGGGAACAACCAGAACACCGATGTTTAAAAACACACAGTTTCTCAACAGAAGTAAAACACAACAGGAAATGGGCTCTTGAGACTCATCTTAATCCTAATGTAACTAATTTAGGAGTGGCTGCAGCATGCCTGGGCCTCCACGCCCAGTAGGATGGCCACAGAGGACCCAGAAACGTTTCCATTAAACACCCCATCCTTCACAAGGAACTTTTGGCATGGGCATGAGATGAAGAGTTTGATATGTGGCCTTAATAATGGGGTTTATTCCTGCAGCTGTCAGTTGTGCCTCCTGGACTTAAAGATGCTCATTTAAATAGTTTTGGACATACCAACGTGCAGCCCTTTAGCTGTCTTTAGTTACTTCTGATTAGCAAGGTGGCAGGCAGGAGCAACAGGTCTGTGAACTCCACATGGCCTGAAACTAACAAGGCAGCTGAGACTCCATTTTACCCTTAGAAAAGGGCATCTTGGATACCTGTCACCAACCCAGCAGCCCAAAGCTGCGCTTTGCACAGAGAAATGCTGCTGGAATAACTGGGGAATGGAAACAGGGTCACAGTACATTGAACTCTTTAGTTATCTAAATGCCCACTTCTCTGCTGCTTGGGCATCTGGCCAGGCTGTCGGAAGAGTCCAGGGTCCATGACGACTACTTCAATGCTACAGCAAGACTCAACAAGCCAGCAATGCTTTTCTGGGGCACTAAAGCACCCTCTGCCCTTCTAATCTTTCCT